TGGTTAAGGACGAAGAGCTGATCCTGGTTGTTGTAGCTCCAGTCGAAGCGACCCTGGTCTTCGTTCTCGATGAACTCGCGCTCGACCTTCATGGTGTTGAGGGCCTTGCCCTTGGACCACGGGTAGACCTGGGTGGTGGGCACCTGGTGCATGCGCTGGACGCTGTTCTCCGTGCCAAAGATGTCGAAGTCGGCCTTGAAGTTGAGGACGTGGTCGTGCATGGAGCCGGAGAGGTTGTCGTGGATCTTGAAGCCGTATCCCTCGTTCTTGGCGTAGAAGGCGGCCTGGATGTAGCCGGACGCGCGGACCTCGACCGCGACAGACCCGTCCAGGAAGAAGGAGTAGCTGAACATGTAGTCATAGTTTCCGACAGTGGACACCGAGCGAACGGTAAAGTAGACGTTCTTGGTGGCGGTGACGTACTCCTGAGAGCTGTGGCGAGCCATCGGGTAGTCGGCGTCGTACTCGAAGAGGCAAATGCTGTTCAGGTGGGTGTGGGTTGTCTCGGAGACGTAAAAGGAGGAGTTCAGGTAGGTGGCGTATGACGGGCAGTCGTATCCCTTGAGAAGCTCGAAGGCGAAGGGGCCGAATCCGTAGTACGTGTCGAGGTAGGCCACGTGAGACTGGGTAGGGTCGCTGCCGGCATAGTGAGCCAAGGCTTCCTGGAGCCCAAGCTCGTATAGGATTCTCTGGCCCTTGTAGCGGATGTCATAGAGGGCCATGCCGGTGTCGCGCGTGAAGCCAACGTAGAAGCTCCAGCCCATCCATTCGACATACTTCCTGTCGGGGTCCACGGAATATCTGGCACCCTGGGGGGCGACTGAGGTGGGGGGAGCGTTGGTGTCAAGGGGGAGAATCTCGCCCTGTTGGTCGGTCGCAGACCAGTCTCCAGCCCAGTTTCCGCCAAGCTTCTCGACCTTTCCGCTCCAGTAGGCGTTGCGGAACTCCTCAGTAGTCTCGTAGAAGATGCCGTTATAGTACCATCCCTCGACAGTCCATTGAGAAGGGTCACGTCCGGTGACGTCTGACATGAAGAAAAGACCCATGGGCATCATGGACTCAACATCGAAGATCGTGTTGGGGATGCTCCAGAACGTGTCCCAGCGCTGGACGCGGCCATCGTCCTGGTAGTAAGGGTCAATGCCCCAGATGGTGAGGGTGTCGTTGTCGAGGCCGAGAGCAGTAGCGTTCCACAGGTCCAGGGTGATGTCTGCGACGGTCTTGCTGACATCGTAGAGCCAATCTTGGGCCAGATCATCATCAGAATCAAGGTTGCGGACGCGGCCACTAGTCTTGCGGGTGTACGGGTAGTCGAGGCGCTCCCATTTGGTGGTGCCGTTGGTGACGGGAAGAGGGCCGACGATGATGTCCTGGTACTCCGGGTCTTCGGAAGCGCTGAAGTCGATCAAGACGTGGGCGTAGCGGGCTGGGGCCGCAGCGCTTCCGTCGATGTAGGCCAGGGCCTCGGACTTGTTGGGGGCCATGAGCTCCACAAGAACACTGCCGATGTCAGCCTGAGTCCCAGAAAGCTAGAATCTGGCTCATTTACATAGTGTTATCCCATGAAGTAGCGTTCTCGCTCTGTGTGAGGTTCAGCTCCGTTTGAGCGAACAGCCATTCTGTGACACCGGCGGCCTCGGGGCCGGTCAAGCCGCTCCAGATGTTCTCCTTCGGGGCGTCAACGTCATTGGGGTCGTGAACAACGCAGTCCGCAGGCTCGGAGCTGTTGCTGAGCTGGCGTTTGCTCATAGCATGGGCGAGGGCCTTGCGGCCATGCCCTTTGGCGCGCTGCTGAGCCCATGGGGCCTTGGGGAGGCCATTGACTTGCGGGATGATGTCAGAGCTGAGCAGAAGAAGGGCTCCCAGACCGAGGGTGCGTGTGAGCGAAGAGAAGCCCATATTGTCTGAGGTGCAATTGTCTTGTCAGGCAGGATGGAGTACTCAAAGAGGCGCTTGGAGCTCTGGGATACCATTTCTACATGAGACCGCTGATGGTCTTTATGTACAGGACTCTCTCTGGACTCCATCGGCGAGACATCCGGCGATGATGTCGCCAATACTGGCCAACCCCGACACCGGTGATGTAGTCGTATCAACGAGAATCTAGAATGTCTCCATTAGACTATCGACTGGCAGGCGGTTCCCATGTCGCAGCCAACGTCCATACCCTGATCTGGACTAACCCTGAATGGTAGGCCGAGCCGCCAACCAACGGGAGCCTCATCTGTGGCATTCGGTTCAACACCATGCCGTTCCGACAGACATTGACATGCGAGCTACGTGACCGGGCTTGCTATCATGCAGGAACCTTTGTGATGTAGCCCACCTCCAAGCGGGATGATCGCACAGAGTTGCTAGATTCAGCTCCGGCCCGTGATAGACAAGCCGGGGGATGCTGATATCGCGGGCCGCGGCCAGCGGGACTTTCGGTCGCAGTTCATCCCAAATTACAGCTGTAAGATGATGATGTGCTGCTAAAGATGATTGTGGCCGTTGGTTTGCCTGCCACCAGCTCGGCTGTCGAGATCACCAGGGTGCGTTGTTGCGGAGCATCGATTGATAAGACCAAGGCCAAACTTGGATAGTAGGTCCGAGAAGAAACATTCGACCAATCGACTGGATTCTTCTCGCAAGCCGTGAAGAAACGGATTATCGGTTCGTTATCTTGGGGCCCAGTCCTGCGGGTTCTCTCCCAGGGCCGGTCCTTGCTCATCGGGTGGATGGGCGGCTCCAGCATTGCCGGCCATGCGGAGAGGCTGGGCATGTGGGGTCATCAGAAGATGTCTGTGAGCTTGATGCGGGGAGGATGATAAATCGTAGAAGGGATGAAAGAAAATGGAAGAAATAACGACGACGAATGAAGACGACGAATGAAGACGACGACGGGCAACGATAACAATGACGAAAATGTTGACGATAACAGCGTTAAAACTACCTAGTTATAGAGTATAGGCCTACAAGAAAAGTAAGTGCTCTAGCATGGGAATCTGGAGCGGTCTCGTAGGGAATTGCCAGTGATTGCTGTGACTTGCGCATGCAATTCCTGACTGGTGTCTTCGGTTCGACCCCACGTGATTGGCAGCGGCCATCAACCTCATGACGGCCTTTTGAACGATAGGTAAGGCTATCCTTGCGATGAAGCATACGTAATGCCGGAGAGACTAAGTTGACGTCGCAGTCTGCTTATCTCCCGTTCTTATCTCGGACTACATAGCCAACCGGCAAGCCAGGCATGCCAGATGCGAGCTGGACCATATGCGCCAAAATTCGCGCTGGGTTGGAACGCAAATTGAACGTTGTGGTGACTATTTCAGTTCCACTTGTGAATAAGTCTAGTCTAATTTAGCGGTTCAAACAATTGAATCAGGACTTGCCAGATGAACTTCAATGAAGAAATTCGAACAACAACAAAGTGCCGTAGATTCGGGGGCGACCGCGATGCAAGCCCCACTTCCCACTTCCCGACCGGATCCCGGGGTATGGATCATGATAAGCTCGCATAGGCGCTGATAGCTAAACATCCAGGCTCTCGCTGCCGAACATGCAGTTCAACTGCTAGCCATGCTGGCTTGAGAGCTGGGTGTGGAAACAAGCTTCGCCTATCGAAGCCCATGTCAGTAGTTGTGCGGGGTTTTCGGCCAACTTCGACTCCCATGCCCGACGGTCTGCCGTGACGTCGGCGTGGGGTTGATCCTTCAGCTCGAGAGCTCACATGCTCTTTCAATGTAAGAGAACGACCAACGGACAGACACAAATGACGTTTCCGAATCTGGCAGTTGGATTGACCAATTTTCGAGGTCCCATTCCGCCGGACACTCTCCGAAGTCGGTGTAAACCCCTCCCTGTTGTCAACCGCGGTGACAAAATCAAGATTCTTCTTTGTGTTGAGAGGGAATTACTTCAACATGCAAACGCATCATTGTATTTGCTGATTATGCGTCTTATTTTCGATTCCGTCACGGAGTCTGGTAGTATTTTCTCGCTGAGGGCAAGACTTCACCGGTATGACATCGCACAAATGTAAGCAGTCTTTAGCAGCAACAGACCAAACGGCCGCGTATTTTTTCCCTAGTGAGTTATCAGTAAGTAGACTTAGATAGATAGGGCAAGATAAATAGATACCTGAAAACATTGCCTGTATCTTCAGTGGTGCGTCTTTGCGTTGTGCGTTTAGTTCAAAAACCTTTTACCCTGGAATCAAAGGATGTTGAGGACAACAATCACTCATGGCTGTCTTCTTAAATATGTACAAACCGCCGTTCTCTTAGCAGTCACACTGGAGCAGTCCCTGATATCGCGTTCCAAGATGCAGTTCAGCGGGCGCCATGGCGCACCACATGAACGGCCATCCATCATGCTGGACCAATGAGCAGTAGGCGTCTTGCTGTCGTGGATCAAACTCTTCGGTCCGCACGTAGCATGTGGCCGGAATAGGGGTCTCTGCGGGCGTCTCCTTTTATTCTTGACGGATGATTTGTCGAAGGGCCGGAGTGACTCTGTTCTTGAGCGCCCGCAAAGCTGCACGTCAACCGGTGAGACGGGGACTGGACGTGTAGCGTTGCCCCGACGCCTGTGGGTAAAGCAATAGGCAGTCGTGACCCGAGAGATCAGCTATGAGGTGCATTGCAACATTGCCCGTCAAACAATGAATGCCACATGCTGTTGTAGATTTACTGAGACTTACTGCGGCGGCAGTGTACTGCTCGAACGAGCCTACTTAGAAGACCAACTATTCTCTCTGTGCTTAAAAGACAACTTCTCTGACCTACTCTCTATAACCTTCAACGTCGTTATCGCTATCATTGATGCTATATCTAAACGTGTCTGTGGTAATAGCTGTAATAATCACACTTTTGATTATTCAATCCTTGCTCTCGTTATGATCCAAGTAAAGCTTAAAATCCATCATGCAAATGAGAAATATAGCAGCGTAGACACTGAAAGGTGAGGCATCCTTCGCCCCACACGTAGACCTGTTACGCTTAGATCTACCAGTAGTACTAGTCGTGTTTATGTCTAGAGGCCAGATAAAATACAGCGATTGCCACAAAAATGAGAACGAATCCCAAACCAATTCCAACTCCCCATGCTTTTTGCGCATCTTCCTTCAGCGCATCCGTGCCTTTGAACAGAAGGATCCAACCGGACTCTTTCTTACTTAGCTCCGTCGACGCGCAGTAGCAGCTGTCGAAGAAGCCAATTAGCTCCCATATAGAAATCAGCAGAAGCCATACAGTGTTAGCTACAAGCAAGAAGCAGCCAAGTAACCGTAAGAAGACTGCAAAAGCTCCGCAAAGTTGTGCTCCTAGTCCAAGCCTCGGCTCATTCTGGTGTTGCTGTGCGATACGTATTCTCTCGTATCCTCGCATAGCAACGTGGGAAAGTGCGGCGGAGAGAACCAAAGATGCGCACGCTGCAGTCGAGAGTATGCCATATATGAGGTAGCTACCCGATCTGCAACCCAGGCCCTTGACTACTGTCTCAAAGGCTAGGATGAATGCAAGGATGGTTGTACCCCATTGTATCAGGACGCCCATAAGTATCGAAAAAGCCAAATGTTTCCAAAAGATAGGCTTTGCCTCAGACAGCCCATCCAATGTTGAGTACTCGTACAAAGGACCCCGATGAATACTGTTGCTGTCTTGATGTGTGAGGTTGGCTTGAGATCCTGCGGGAGATGGCTGTGGAGCAGCTTGAGATTCAGGAGGTTGCTGCGGACCAGTTGCATTCATGTTATGAGGACGAATCGCATCCTCATAAGCGACAAGGAGATTATTGGCGAAGTTGATCCAGGTCAGAGTGCGGGCGTAATTGAAGGCCGGTCCTTCTTGCTTCTGGAATCCGGCGACGTTGAATATCCACAGTCTTGTGCGACTGCTTGTACTCCCATTTCTTGAGTTGTTCCGTGCGTTTGGAGCAGCCCGAAGTCCGTCTGCAACTTCAATTTCAGGGCGGTAACTACTGGCCCCTTTGAGGGCCGACTGCATGGTGCCGGCTTTGTTCTGCGTACCCACAAGAATCCAGCCTAAGATGACAGGGACCTAGATTACTCCGGGATCAGCATTGACTCTTTCCCAGTCCAGTTCTCGCCATGAGCAAAGAAAGTCTTTCATACCAGCCAGATCCAAAGAGATCCCGAGGAAAGGACGAGAGCTTCCTCTGTATCGCCCACTTTTGTCTTCAGGGATCCTACCGCCGTAAGAATCCAGGCTATGATTGCTACTGATAGTTGAGCCACGAGTGACAGAGTGACCCCTCTACGAGTCGTCTTTAGTTTATCTCCAGCTTGTTTCCACCATCCGTTGTGGTCGCTCAGAAACATTTGTGCCATCAATGCCCGTTCTATCTGGACGAGACGTGTGGGTGCTTGTTGAGCAGCTTCTGTGATGACTACAGCACCGTTTGCTTTTGCTAGCATCCCTGTCCCGGATTCCACTCCATCTTGATTTCGAAGCTTTCTGAATGCCTTTCGAATCCAAGTTTTGTTGAGAATCGTAACCATGAGAGAAACTGTCATTAGCATGGGACTTCCAAGTCCAAGGCAAACACTCATGATGTCAGAGCCGGTGCCCCCCGTCTCATATGGCAGCTGCGCTGTAAGGGCCAGCCATGGAAGAAGATAGCTTGTTGACCCGGCGGCGATACGATTGAAGTTGGTGGCCTGCGAATTGATTCACGTTAGCTGTTATCTCGTCTCACGGCAGCTATGCGAGTGAGGATTTGGTCTTTTACCATATTGATGTGATCGCGACTGCAGTAGTCCTTGCAAACAGAAAGACTGAAACCCCAAGCTTCCTCAATTTCCGGTTTATCGACTTCCAATAGTCTTTCGCCATGTATGGTCATGACTAGGCCTTTTGCGATATTTTCTTGGCTTGTCGCATTGTCCTTGAATTTCTGATTAATCTTCTGGGTGCACTTCAAGTACCAACTGTCGGCATGGCTGCTATCTTTGACCGGCTTGGATTGGTCGTTCAGGAAACGTCCAACCTGTTCCAAGTAAGCTGTCGCGTTTCGCCCAGTTGCGCTCTGAGTGGGTGAAGACATGGCTTTGTGTTGGTCTATCAACGTGTGCAACAGTTTTGACGATCGCGTTTCAACTGATATTGGAATGAGCCAAATTCCTGAGAGATCTGCGCAAAGCCTGAGGTCGAACGCCCATATATTGAATTCAGTCGTGAAACCGTGTCGTGTAGTATGGATTGGTTGAACATGACAATATGTATGCCATTTTGCCTGAAGCACCTGCACCAGCCTGCCAGGCGGCCTCTCTCTGGTCAGCCTAGCACTGCCTTTCAAGTCAACTTTTGGCGGCGAACAATACGAGATTAGGCTGATAACTCTTTGTTGAGGCGTCTCTAGATTTGGCGATGTCATTGGTCGAGGGAGTGGTGGTTGATAAGAGCTGAGAAGAATCGGGCAAGCCTGCCGCGGTGTAACACACCATTGAGACCTCAACGTTGCCACAAGGCATCTCTGGTAATGCTTCGTAGGCAGGCATGTTACTACCCATGGTATTGAAATATCACTATTCTGTGACTCCGACGTATGGTTTTGGGCAGACCCTGCTGAGAAATATCTTGCCTGTTTGTGCAGAACATCACGGGTGAAGTATTGCTCCTACTAGGATCGGGGGGGCTCGATAGCGTAGAGGTTCGGCGTTGGTCAAGCCACACAAGAGGGCCGCAGTCACCGAATATTTCCAAGTTTATCAGAACTAGGCCTTCGGGGACAGGTGTGCCATTCAATAATTGGTGGTGGTGGGGGGGAAGGGGGCGTTGCTGAGAGCAGGTGGTGTGTGACACAAGGCATTGGACACAGGCAGCGGCATTCCTCCAATAAGACTCAGTTGTAATTTCCTGGTAATTCCGACATTATGATCGGTCATGCATTGTATACTAGGTAACTCCTGCGATATGAGCCCCGTCATTGGCGTTTGTCTTTCTTAGGCCGCTTAGCGTACACCCGCTCTCCGTCACCCGTAAGCTACATTCTGTAGGCCGCCAAGCTGTCAAGAACAGTTCATCAGGGCACGAAGTCTGGAAAATAGCCTCTGGCCGGCTTTTTCACAGTCTTGCACCACCTCAGAGGCGATATTAGGCCACGCTTACGGTATTATACGGCGATGCAAAAGAACCACAGATAAAATGTGTACATGTGGTACTAGGTAAAATATGCGGCGCGGTATGTACGCATTCAAAAAGTGTACATGAGAATGGAAAAATGTGCTTGGCTATTGCCACGTGTTTTGTTTAAGGTCCATGTGACGACGGAGGACCTAAATCTTGCCAATGCCAGCCTTGCCCGTCACAGTGGACTTGACATTGCTAGCCTGAATGGGGGTGACAAGGTTGGCCTTACTCTTGCCCAAGGCGCTCAGAGCTGTAGTGCTTTTGAGGCTAGGCCAAGCGCCGCTGCCGGACAGAGAGTTGGCGACACAGTTACGGCCAAGCGAAGAGCTGCAGGTCGAGATGGAACCAGAGTCAGGGACGTCGAAGATGTTGGCACCGCTGGAGCTCGAGTCGGTGGTGATCGGGGTCTTGGCGTTGGAGAAGACGTTGCCCTCGAGCAGGACGTTGGTGCCCTTGGTGATGTCAAAGTTGTGGCCGAGGTTGTCGGAGAAGTAGTTGTTGACGGCTTGTACGGTGGTGCTGGTGCCGCTGATCTTGGGGGCGCGACCAGACATGTCGTGATACCAGTTTCTGTCAAGAGTCACCTCGTCTCCGTCGGCGACGAACATGGTGCCCCAGTACTGATTCTTGTTGCAAGAGTTGGAGTATGCGGTCACGCCGTCGAATTCGGTGTTGGAGATGGTAAAGGTGCTCGGGTTGAAGCTGATAGAGTGTCTCGTTAGCCGCTATGCAGGTCGCCGAGAGATGCGGATGGACTTACTGAGAGACGATGAACATGCGGCCCGCCTTGCTAAACTACACCACCAATATCTAAGCATTTTGTATGAGCGTCCACAGAACAGATTTACTAACCTTGCAGTGATCGATCCAAAGACCGTCCACTCCCTCAATGCTCATGCCATCGCCACCCCAGACGTACTGAGGGTTCAGGTCCTGAAGTCGTTGTGAGTCAATAGTACACGCTGTGTTGTTTGATTTGACTTACGGTGATATGAACGTTCTGGATGCTTCGCAACATTAGTCACTGAAGGACAGGTCTCCTGGGGCGTGGTCACGTACATAACATTCTTGGTACCCTGGGGAATCTTCAAGCCCTTGCCCTGAATGATGCCCTTGCTGCCGACACCCACGATACTCTTGTTGCTGCCAACAGTGAGTTGGGTCTTCGCAGCCTTGTCGTACTTGACGTCGACCTCGCTCTCGTTGGCATCGCACGAGTCCTTGCCGATGGTGTCTTGTCCACCGTTGCTAGCGTTGCAACCGGACTTGGCACGGCATCCCTTCTCGGACACGGTACCCTCGCTACCAATGTAGTTGAAAGTCTTGTCGATCAGGATGACACGCGCGGTGCTGTCAGACAGCCAGGTCTTGAGTCTATAAATCGCGCTTTTAGCACGTGCATGTCTGATGGCCACAAATAGAATAAGAGGGTTGGATGGAAGAACTAACTGTGCAATGTCAGAAGGCGCTGTCGCTTTGGCAGAGCCTCCACCAGTGACACCGGTCGCGAAACCATAGGCCTTACCAACGACCTGCGCGGCGACCAGAGAAGGGGAAAGCGCCACAAGAGCCGCCAGAAGAGTTGCGAGGTACATGATGAACGGGAAGTTCGAAGCGAAAACGAGTGAATGGAAAAGAGCGTGAGACCAACGACTAGCGACCCGGCTCGGTGTTCGACACGGGGAGCTTCTCTATTATTTTCATATTGGGCAGTCTATTGAAAGTCTGGGGTCAGTAGAGCTTAACCCACTCTGAAGTACGGAGTTTTCAGTCGACAAGTGGATTCAAGGTTAGAATCATGTAGATGAATGTCTAACCTACTGGGGACTGACTGCCATTACATTATCGGTCAAAACCCGCCATGTGCCCCTTGTATACGATCGGATACGGCGTGTAAGCTGCCGTGTTGGGAACCCCAAGATGGAGATGTACGCCTAATACGGGATAGCTAATCCAGAACGCCGCCCTAAAGCGTTCGTCTCAAGTCATGAAGCAACGCTTGGCCAAGACTCACGGATCCCTGAATGCCACCTGATACTCACAAGGATTGCCCACCGGAGGAAATTTGCCAAAGAAGGCATGTTCACTGCTCGATGAAAATATTAAAGGGCCCTGTGCCACGTTTCACTGGCGCGCAACCGAGAGTCTGGCATACATTTGCTGCCAGGACGGCAATTTACGTGTTTGTATAGGACCTGGCTTGAGGGGAATGCGTATTTAACAGAAGATAGAAACGTTTTTGTGTTGCTCAAACGAAGATCGAGGGCTAGCTTCACCGTACCAACCTTGCCACCAATGGAGGACCAGCGAATGACGACAAATAGAGCCCGATAGACTGGTCTGCCTTCGCAGCACCACTTCATATAAGCACGGGGATTAAACTTAATCACAGCTTGAACGTTCAATCCGTCGGGCTTGAAATTGAAAAATGATAGCTGTTTAAGCTTAAATGTTGTACAACCTGCTGCAGCACCACTCAACCGCGAAAGGAACTCGGGGCGATTAAGTGTCCGAGAAAGGGACTCGGGCCAGATCATCACCCGAATCTCACTGCGGAGGAGCGCTGGAATGGCGCATTGCTACTGAGTGGGTGGGTGTCCACGAGGGGACTTTTATTCCAAACAGGCTACTGCGTATCTAAATGAACTTTGAATGCTGCTTGCCTATGCATTGGGGACCTATGGGCTTCAGTAGACATGAAAGAAGTGACATCCATATTGCCACAATCGTTTCTAACGAGATTAACAGTTAATACTGGAGGAAATAGACTATTATGCAGACGACACCCAAAAGAGAAGCCCCTGTTCTAGGGCGCGATGTAGCTGTGCATCAAGAATGTCGCCCACCATGTGCAGAACAAATGACGCGCTGGCCACTTCCGTCCACAAACTGAATGTGCAACCTCGCTAGTGATCTTGAAGGAGACAGGGGAGAAATGGGCATCGGAACAACGGACATCGGAACAACGCAGAGCGGAACAATGGACAGCGGAACAGCACGACAGTCTTCCCGTTCAGGGGCGAGGGCGCCTTTTGCCGCCCGGAAGAGGAATTGATTGTAGATGAGCGAGGGGGGCGACTCAGCTCCGTAACGATCAGACTGTGGAACTTTCCTCCGTGAAGCCTGGTGCAGAATTGAATAAAATCTTTTCATCCTTGGCGGCCCCATCTGGCCCGGCTATAGATGGTTAAAGATGAAAGAGTAAGTATGACACGAAGTCTTGTTGGCATCCCATAAACACTTCCCTGCACTGATGTCACCGATGCAATCGTTTAATTGAAAACCAGCAAGTTATGTGCAATTGCTTTTATTGGACAGATTGGACAGAAGAGCACTGAACCCAGGCGCTGGATTCATATCATTCTTCCCGGGGTTCTGTAAACACCCAAACGCTTTCAATCCCGTCAGTCGTTTTAACTACCAGATAAGATCTCGCTCTTTTATCACCTTCGCTCAATGTCTGAAATAACGACACAAGATGGCAGTGCCCTCTCGCAGAAATCACACGTTTCCGTAGGCGGAGGCCGGCATGGATCAGCTACAGAGCTCCCGGAATTCAGAAAGAAATGCCCCATAGACGCCTAATGGTCTTGACTAATGATTGGATACAATGATGTTGTATGTCACGCAATGAGCATTCCACGCGAATTGCTTCCTAAATATGTAGACAGGCCTTAGGTTTGATCATCTCGGCATCCCACACCGGTATCCTGCCGGGCCGCCGTGCGATAAGCTCCGATCGGCGCCGCTACTAAAGTGGAGAACCGGCCCCCGCCTGCAATCCTGCATCGGACTTTTACGCATAAAAGTGCGACTTATTCCCTTCACTTCCCTCGTCTTTGATATCGGCATTTTTCTAAGAACATACCTGGGCTTAATCGCCCTCTTTGTCTAGATTTTGGGATCCCAGGCCAAATTAGCCGCGGGCACAAGCTTCATATGAACGAACTCACGCTAATCTGACATGCGCTGGCTGCGGGGTCTGAAAGTTAATTCAACTGCTGAACTGTGCCGGTTACCATGCCGTGACGTCCCCTGAAAACGGCATTTGGAGGCCGAATTTCCCCTCCCGCGGAGAACATCCGTCCAGACAGATAGGGAGAGGGGTGCCGCGGAAGACGCCGTTATGAGACATCGTCTATCACCCCTCATGCAGGGCGCCGATAAGAGCTCTCACGTCATTTCCCTGCCACATTAGCTACCCCTCCTCTCCCTTCCGAATCGCAGCTTGCCTCTTTCCCAGCATCAACCACAAAGTCCATCATCCGGCCGGACCAATAGCCAAGGGGGAGCCTCGTCCATCTATCCACGCGGTAGAAAGACTGTCGGGAAACTCTGCTACACTGACCACTGCTCGACCTGGTGGTCTTTCTTCCGCCAGCATGGATCCCGCAAAGCTGACTGGCCAGGCTCTCCTCAGCCACACCATCCAGACGACCCCCATCATTGACAACCACGCCCATCCTCTGCTGGATCTCGAGGCCATTGGCCGCTACCCTCTTTTGTCAATCACTACCGAAGCCCATGGAGACGCAATCCACGCTTCATTGACTAGTCTCGCGCATCTGCGCGCCGTCAAACAGCTGGCCAAGGTGCTCCGTTGCGAGCCGAGCTGGGAGGCGGTGGTCAATGCCATTGAAGCTAAGCGCATTGAGGACTACGATGCATGGGTTGAGGAATGTCTCAATGGCATCGAGTCCGTTCTTGTTGACGACGGGTTGGACGGCGAGAACGCTGTCTATCCTTACACATACTTCAGCAGTCTCACTCGGAGCCCCGCTAAGAGAATCGTGAGAATCGAAAAGATCGCTGCTGACATCTTCAACGAGCACCTTCCAGCCGACGAAGGCACAACTCGCACGGCGGATGACTCCAACGCCGTCTTCGACAAGGCGCTGAAGGCATTCGATAGCAGCATCTTGGAAGCTATCGCGGATCCAGAGGTCGTCGGCTTTAAATCCGTCATTTGCTACCGCACCGGTCTCGCAATTCCGAGAAAGCCAGATGCTGCTTTCGCCCGCAAGGCCTTCGAGGGCATTTACGCGACTCACACCAAGGGGACTGACAACGCGTTCACTCGCGTCAACCACCCCGGTCTCAATGAGTACCTGGTCCACCGGCTGGCATGCCTCATCAGAAACACCGAAGGCTCGGGTAAGAAACCCATCCAATTCCACACGGGATTGGGCGACAACGACATCACTCTCACATCCGCCTCTCCTGCACATCTTCAGGAGTTCATCCGCCAGTACCCCACGGTGCCGATTGTCCTGCTCCATGCAAGCTACCCGTACACGAGAGAGGCTGGGTACCTGGCGTGTGTTTACGCCAACGTCTACGCGGATATCGGTGAAATCTTCCCGTTTCTCAGCCGCGATGGCCAGGAAACTGCACTCCGCCAAATACTAGAGTTGTGCCCCTGGTCCAAGATCATCTGGAGCACTGATGGACACTGGTTTCCGGAGACCTACCTCTTGGCCGTGTTGCAAGTCAAAGAGGTGATGGAGAAGGTCAGTAACAGCTATACGCTACTACATGTATGTAAGAAGATATGAATGCTGACTTAGCCCAGGTATTGTGCGAGTACGCTCGGAAAGGCCACATGACTTGGCGAGAGGCGACCCAGTTGGTGAAAGACGTTCTCTTCAACAACTCGAACCATATCTACCACCTGGGATTCTCCTTCAGCCCTGAAGAAAGCCATATGAACCCTCGACGGCTGTCTGGTAGAAGTGACCTGGACATCCTCGAGGCATTCCTGGATGGCAAGAAGCCACCGCAATACCTTCGTATCTACTGGAACGACATGACAGCTACCCCACGCGTTCGGGCCGTGCCCATGCGAAAGGTCCTATCGGTCATGAACGAAGATGGAGACTTCTCAATCAGTATTACAAAGGCCAGTCTCGGTCTACTCCAGAATGACATGGTCGTCGCGGGAGCTTCTGGCACGGGAGAATATAGGCTGCATCCAGACTTCACATCCCTCCAGGAAGGTCCCCGTGATGGCCACATCAGCGTGTTTGGAGATTTCAGAGAGCAGGATGGTTCGGTCGTTCCCTTATGCCCGAGATCATTGCTCCAACGAGTGGTCGAAAATGCGGCACGTCGGGGTCTCACCTTCCACGTCGGCTTCGAGATCGAGCTGCTTCTCCTTGAGCGGATTGACGGTCCCGAGAAGTATAGAACATTGAGAAACGACGGACATGCCTGGTCAACCTCGCGAATGATGGACCACCCCGTCTTTGTCAAGGTTATCGAGCGCGCAGTCGCCGAGCTGGACTCAAGAGGCATTTACATTGAGCAAATCCACCCTGAAAGCGCCGCCGGCCAGTTCGAAGTCGTTCTCCCTCAAGCTCCTCCCTTAGAGGCTGTAGATACCCTCCTATACGTCCGAGAGGTCATCTCTGGCATTGCTCAGTCAGAAGGCTACAGGATGTCCCTTCATCCAAAGCCATACCCGAAGTCTTGTGGTACCGCGGCTCATGTGCACATGTCCATCACCTCCCCCAACGGCTCAAAGCCTGAGACCTACGGACCCTTCTACGCCGGCATTCTCAAGCATCTCCGCGCCATCGCTGCACTCACTTACAGTAACCCCGTGAGCTACGAACGCGTCCAGGACGGCTGCTGGGCTGGTGGTCGTTGGGTGACCTGGGGCACTCAGAACAGAGAAACACCCCTGCGCAAGTGCGAGGACAGCCACTGGGAAGTCAAGTGCCTCGACGGACTTGCGAACCCGTACCTTGCAATTGCGGCCCTACTGGGTGCTGGCGCGTATGGAGTCATGAAGGGCGAGAAGCTAACCTGGGGAGACTGCGAGGTTGACCCTGCCTCCCTGACGAAGAATGATCGCAAGGAGTTGGGCGTGGAGCACATGCTTCCGGCCGGGCTGCCTGAAGCTCTCAAGGAGTTGAAGAGCGACGAGGTCATGAATGAGCTGCTCGGTGAAGAGCTCATTGAGAGATATGCGACGGTCAAGGAGGAGGAGATGAAGTTCTTGGACTCTCTGAGCGCTGACGAGAGACGCTTGTGGATCCTCGAGAGATACTAAAGGGATAGCAAGAATGATGTTATAACGGTGACAGTCCTGAAAAGAATAAATCCAAATCCAGAAATCGTTCCAACCTCTACTTGCTCTCTTTAATAATCGTCTGCATAGCCTTGACGTACTCGCCGACTTCTTTCGCGCCGATGAGTGTGAGGTCTCTTCTCCTCCCTTCGAATACAATGTGTGGAACAGCATCCACGCCATCCATGGCAGCCGTGCGGATCATGTTCCTCGTGTCAATCTTGCCCTCCGTCTGATCTTCGACAACCTCTTTCGCTTCTGCCTCCGGGATGCCCGCCTCAACGCAAGCGTCGACCAGCACCTCCTTCGCTCCTTGGTCCTTCTCCTGTTCAAAGTACCGACAGTATAAGGCTTCTACTAACCGATTGGCAATCTCAGCACCTTTGGCCTCCTGGAAGTGCTGAATCACCCGGTGCGCATTGAAAGTGTTCGACATTGTCCCGCCCCAGGAGAAAGGAATGCCAACGGCTGTTCCAAGCTCGGACATTGTGGCCTCATAGACTGACTGCTTGATGTCCGAAGCATCGTGCTTGGTAGTCACATACCACTGGCGCTTGTCCTGGGGCTCAGTTGAGAAGTCCGGGTAGAGTTGGTAGGGGCGGAAGACGAGCGTGAAGGAGATATCGCCAGCTGCGGGTGATGCGGCGATTTCTTCGAGGGCTTTGCCCAGTCTGCATGAGTTGATATGTTAGAATCGCTGATGCGGCCTAAAGTATCAACAGCTAAAGTGTTGCCGGGCAGGCACTGCCTGTCGGTCACTTCTGTAGACGCCATCGCGCTCAATGCTGCCCTCCCCGTCCTCCTCCGCAGATGACGATGAAGTTGGAAAGATGGGCCGCTCTTGATCTTCTGTACGAAACGTCATAGCCTCACCTTTTCTTTGCGATGTATGTCCTTAGATGGAGATTCGTCAGCAAATAAACTCGAGGACGAAGACTCATTCATGTCGCCAACTCACCAAGGACATATTGTGTCAAAGGTGAAGGTTATCTGAGACTTGTACATGTTGAAGAACTTGGATAAATTGACGGTTGGTAGTGAGTTTGAATGTGCTTGTATGAGTCTAGTCAAAATCTCAGCAGATGGTCGGTTCGGGTCTATGACAAATGCCGCTTGCTAACTTGTCATGACCCCGCACCGCCGTGAAGATCACGTTCACGTGGTTGATTACATCAATACCTCCTGAACCAACACCATCATATATCTGGAGCGGACGAGATGATGCCAGACGAAGCGCTGGACAATAATTGATTTTTGTACAGTTGTACTTTAATTTTCTCAAGCAAGCCCAGGTACCGATCTCGCTTTTATGCCCCGCGCCCGCTCATGTCCCCCGGCCTTTGGGTACCTAAAGATTATTCCGGGATCTTTCCTCGGGTCTGATTCGCTGACGGCCAGGCTTCGATTTCTATAAAGCCATATTCATGGCGATTCGTGCTGCTTTTTACACATGATTAAATCGATTGACGCTTCGCGATAAGATCCGCCGACTTCGGGAACTTTCAACTTCAGATTGAGGACTGCTCCGTGCGTAGTCTGGGAAGGAAGTTCGAAGAGAGGGAATTACCCCCATTAATTTCCTAGTCAAGGTCTGTTGCCCGGGACAGTGGGTCACTAAGCCACTGGGAAGCTGGGAAGTAAAGTCGAAGCGAGAAAACTAATTGCACTAGAATTGAACTGGGTTAACTCATTTGACGATAAGAGCCACGATAGTAGCGATGGGGCATCACGACAGAAGACAATAAAAGACTTTGACTCCCTTCACATGCGGCCCTGCGGGCTTCATTGAATCATTTTCATAAGCCAGTCGTAATCGTCAGTGTGTAAGTTCTCATCTCTCAGAGACATCATCTATTAACCAACATGCAGGTCGCCCGCTGAATTACTGTTGCCCTCAAACTACCTTACCCAGATAGCCCATAACCCCGGGACTCCAACAACATGGTTGCAGGTACCGTCCTCATCAATGGCCGTATTCTAGCCAAAGGTGGAACTGGCCTTGAAGCCCAGCCCACTTTCGCGGATAGTATGCTTATCCAAGATGGTAAAGTCGTCGCTATCGGCCCTCAAAGTGAGGTCCTACCGAAAGACACCACGGGGTTTGAGGTCCGAAATCTGCAGCAGCGTACGGTGCTTCCTGGGTTCATTGATGGACATATGCACCTCCTGCTATTGGGCCAGTCCCTACGGAAACTCGACCTGGTTCATTGCAAAACAATAGACGACATCCGATCAACTATCAAAGCTTATGCGGCAGCTAATCCGAACGTGCCAACAATTCTCTGCAAGAACTGGATGCACTCCATGACGCCGGGCGGGGTGAGCGCTGCGCTGCTGGACGATATTGACCCGCGACCCATTTTCATCGATGCGAGCTCCCAGCACTCTTGCTGGTGCAACTCTGCGGCGCTGGAGAAATTGGGAGCGGCTGAGATGGCGGATCCCCCTGGCGGAAGCATTCATCGAGATGCAAAGGGCAGGCCTACCGGAGTACTCGACGAGGGTGCGATGATGTCTGTCATTTGGCCGTTCCAAGCCGCATCAGCCCCGAAACGTGAACGCATTGAAGCAATCAGGGCAGCCATCAAAGAGTATAACGCCGCTGGCTACACCGGAGTTGTTGAGATGGCCATGGATGAAGAGGCGTGGGATGCACTCGTCACCTTGAAGAATGAAGAGCCCGATCTTTCTATTCGCGTTGCGTCTTACTGGTTGATAAAGCCAACCGCAGACACCGAAGCTAACTCAAAGCAAGTTCAACGTGCTATTGAGTTGAGTAAGATATTCAACTCCAGCAACGACCCAGACCTCCGCATCGTCGGCGTGAAGGTTATTTGCGACGGTATAATCGACGCGTGCACAGCGTATCTCTCAGAACCATACGCGCCAGCGGGCCTTCCACCGCCAATCTGGGAGCCGGAACATGTGGAGGCTGTCGTCAAAGAGGCAGACGCTGGAGGACTCCAAGTCGCACTGCACGCGATCGGCGACGCAGCCATCAGAATGGCCATTGATGCGATTGAGAAGAATGGCACCCCAGGACGGCGGCATCGGATCGAGCATTTGGAACTTGCATCACCAGAAGACGCTCAACGGCTGGGCAAGTTGGGCTTAACGGCGTCCATTCACCCGGTGCACGCCGACCCTTCAATTTTGACGGAGTGGCCGAGGCTTCTGGGAAAAGACCGCTGTAAACGGGCCTTTGCATACCGAGAATTCGCTGACGCGGGCGCTTTGATGGCGATTGGCAGCGATAGTCCTACATCACCGTGGGCTCCGATGCAAAATCTCTATGTTGCATCTACCAGACGCTCCTCGCGGGATCCGAGCTATCCCAAGGTGATTAATGAGCACTTCAAGCTGGGGTTGTGCGAATCAGTGGTTGCTGCGACTTGGGGCGCTGCTTGTAGCGTGTTTGCAGAGGAGCGAGTTGGCAGCTTGGCTGTGGGTAAGCTGGCGGACTTCATTGTCGTGGACATGGTGTGGGATGCCGCTCGCCTGTTGAATGCGAAAGTTGAAGAGACTTGGTTTGGAGGAAACCAAGTGTGGGATTGTAAGAATGAAAGTTGAGAAGTCGTGAAAAGATGATTCAGAGCTTTGAATGCCTTGAATGGGAAATAGTGCTGTCGTAGTGACTTTATCCATTAACAAGACGGGTCGTCTTCAGCGGCTGTCCATCGCATCCTCAGCTTTCTGTTGCAACAAGACCAAACACTTCTCCAGTTATCGAAAGGTTAGCCTGCTCATAGCTGTGAATCTGCAAACAGATATTTGAATGAATACTCCCTCAGAGGCTATTGCAACCCATCAGAAAACAACATAATTGGTTCTGATTCCGAATGACGCGATGTAAGGGTTGGTAGTCGTGCAAGCTGGGCGCGACCATTATTAATGAGCTGACGGCCGAACACCCCGCCAGCCCGCAAACTCTCTCGGAAGCCCTCACCTTACGTAAATGTCTCATCGGTCTCCGAGCTCTCTCTGTCACACTCTCATTCGCAGGCGATCTCCGTCTTACTCACTCCTTGAATCGGTTTCACTGCGATTATCTTGGATGAAGCCTAGAGAAGAACGGCCAACAGCTTGTTCTTCATCTTACTCGCCATTTCGTGATCCCCAATACATCGACTATGATAAGAAATCGAATCGGTGTATCCATCCTCTTCAACAGACCCACCCTAGCGGCCTCAGCTCCATTCTCTTGCGTGAGGAGCTTCAGTCAGAGCCCAACCATCATGTCTCGGAATGGCGACCGCGAAGGCGGCGGTGAGTAAAATTCCTATGGTTTGCTCTTCATCCCAGTATGCTAACAACTCACAGGAAAGCCCCTCAACTTCGGCATAGTTGTCTTCCCGGCTTTCCAAGCGCTTGACGTCTTTGGGCCCCTCGACGCGCTGAATCTCTTATCGCGCTCGTACGAAATGAACCTGTCCGTTATCGCGGAGACGCTGGACCCCGTCTCGACGAAGCAGATCCCAGGCGCGCAGCAACAGCCCGGCGCCATCCCCGCCAGCGGTCCCGCGGTCCCGGCGGCCAACTCCGATTTCGGCCAGACCATCCTGCCCACGCACACATTCAAGACGGCCCCGCCACTGGACGTGCTCATTGTCCCCGGGGGTCAAGGTACGCGGTACGCCGGCATCCGTGCCTCCATCGACTTTATCAAGGAGAGGTTCCCCGAGTTGCAGTATTTGATTACGGTTTGCACTGGCGCAGGTGTCGCGGCGCGTGCGGGTGTGCTGGACGGGAAGCGGGCAACGACGAACAAGCTCTCGTGGGAGCAGACTATTGCGCTGCGGCCTGAGGTCAATTGGGTGCACAAGGCGCGCTGGGTGGAAGATGGCAATGTTTGGACGTCGTCCGGTATCAGTGCGGGTATCGATGTTACTTTTGCGTGGATTGCTGCTGTGTACGGGAAGGATCTCGCGAAGAACATCGCGGACAGGATGGAGTACACTCCCGTCGAGGACTCAAACTGGGATCCATTTGCAGATCGCTGGGGGACCAAGAAGGCATAATCCTGTCGTTTCACTTTTGACACTTTCGCGTAACTACTAGGACAAGAATTGAGAAAATGTTCAGATAGAAGACGCCGTTGTTACAAAGAACCTCATTCGACAAGTTGGCTGTAGCTTGAAGACTATTGGCAGCACATTCCATAGATTTTTGGTGGAATCAGCCGCTACAGCTGAGAAGCCTGGGAGAAGGCCAAGTAACTAGTTCGACCCGAAAGAGAAGGGGAAAAATGATCATTCAAATCTCCCGCCCCAGCACAGCAAGCACAGCGGGGAATCCGCTAGGGGCACTAGCGACTACAACCTGCCCATCATCACTGTCTAACTTGCCTGCGGGCATTCCCAAGATGTTCTTTTCTCCTCCGCCTATGTCGAGCAAAGCGTTCGGGAGCGGATTCTTCATGTCATCCGCGGCAGCCAATTTGATCTTGACGTTGTATCCCAACAAAATTCTTGTAATCTTCATCAGTCTGCTGGAACGTGGATCAGTGCCAGTTACCGATCCCAGTTGAGATCGGGCCGCAGCACTGACATCCCTTCCACACACGAACACAATTAGCGAGACCGCCAAAGAGTTGATGAAAGCTTACCAAAAGCCCCGATCAACGTCGAACGCTTGCAACCCTCCAGCCTCAAGAGAAAGCTTCACATCGAAAGCTGCAGTGTTGGTGTTATAGAGAGGATCGCTGTCCAGATTCGGGAATCCGAGGCTGGCCCAAGGAGCAGTCTTTGCACCTACGAGGTCGAGATCTATGCTAATCTGTTCGCGGCCTCCATCTTTGGCTTCAACCCAGGAATCGACCCTACGGTCAACCCCGTTGATTGAGTACAAGGGTCTATAATAGATCTTATCTGGAGTTAACGGAACAGGAGGCTTCGTGGTTGTCCTTGAAGATGGTATGTCCATATCCGAGCATGGCATATTACTCCTGTGCGCGCGCCAGTTAGTACATTGTAGAAACCGTGGGGGTATTTTCAAGCTGCTTCTTACCCTAGTCTCAGTGTCGAGGTTTCCTGTGCCAGATTGAATGCTGCCAATGCCAGGCCGACACTACTGGATGTTTTCGTGGCGGCCAGTGTGTATTCAGATTCGAGTCGCTTTTGTTCAGCCTTCGCCCATCCGTAGTAAACCCCAAAGCTTTGGCTCCAGGTTTCGAAACTAGGCAGTCCTGACCCCGTCAGAGCTTCACTTTTATGGTATAGATCGAGATCCCGCAAATATGCTTCTGCGCTTCTGTCTTGTGATTTTTGCACTTCGGAACGAAGCTTTGAGATTGAGCCGCTGACGTCCGACTGAGTTACGACCTACTCTATGATTAGAAGGTCGCCTGTGTGGGCATAGCAGGGAAGTATTAAAAAGTTTCATACATCATCATGGACGCTTTGAAGGTATCTGATTCGACATTAGCTGTATGACGTTGAAAACCATCGATAGTGCAGGAAACAAACCTGCGTCGGGAATCGAAGTAACTATCGCCATCAGACACATAGAAGGGGGATCGACTGTCCTGTAAAACGTCGGTTCGGCGGAAAATGTGGTCATTGGTGATCTCTTTAGGAGCGAACTCGCCTGCAGGGATGTCAAATAGTCCTGGGGAAGCTACGAAAATGGCTTTGGATGAGCTGTCAAGGTCGTCTTGTGTCGTCATATGGGCCTGCAACGCAATGGCGTAGGCCTTCCAGACAAGCTTGGATCTTCCGTTTGTCAAAAAGGAGAGGCTCCGTTTACTGGCGGCCATGACTGATGTGGGCTGCATTGTGAAGTGATTGGCACCTATCGTGTCCGTTGACGTGTGAAGTGGCAAATTGAATGTGGGTTATGTAGCTTCAATAGATAGGAACTGGACTTAGCAGAAAGCTGGGAGAGTTCGTGCCTGCTATGAGCTGATCATATCCAGTGAATAGGATGGAAGTCAACACTTCTCAGTATGGAAGGGGGCGAGCTGCATACGTCGTATCGTAGATTGACAGGTGAGGCCGAAGGCGGGCCAGACGTAGAGCTAGGCCGCATATGCAGGCGATTGCCCGCGTTCTACCTTAGACCGGGCGCTTAACCCTGGTCTCCAAACCAGACCACCAATATCAACCCATGTCTTACATAAATATATTGAGACTAAGACTGTAAGTAGACACATTCAGGACACAGTGCATCATTGTGGCTACCTGAATTGATGTTGATCATAACCAAGCACTGTACTAGGTCGGACAAAAATGTGCTGCGGTACACATCTGCGCACACATAACATGCACACACTCACACACATATGTGTATGCGTGCGGGAGACCGAGAACTCGTCCAACTACCTTATCATGTGCTTAGCAAGAGTGTTCTTGACCAGCGAAATATATGACACTGATACCTTGACGAAATACCATGGGCGAGAAAAGAAGGACTTTTGATGTGTATAGAGGACTAAATACAATTGACTCCTCGGTATAGAGAGTTAGGTCTGCGAAGGATCATTTACGATAGCTGATGATGGCAGTCTAGAATCACTTATGGCTGCCTGCTTGTTGATCCTGTCTCAAACAACGCAGTCTGGCTATTTCTTGGCCAGCTGATTCTTGTTGCCGTTTTAAGCAATGGCAGTCTGGCCAACGCATGAGTGACTGACTTTCAACCTCCCCATGGAAATTCAACCTCCCATATGGTGATCCTGAAGCTAACCCAATTTTACCTCATGAATCGGGTTGAGAGCGAAGCCCAACAGTAATCCATCGTGCGATAGCCGCTCATTCCTGATGACATGGCTTTCGGCGGGCCAGGCCAGCTAACGATGCAACGGACGACTGTAGGGAGGCTCAGCTAGCCATGACAGGGCGATGCTGAATCTTTCCGGTTGTCACTGCTCCATCATTCGTCGTCGTTGTCGATCATCATTCTCAGCTGTGATCTAGCCCCAAGCCAACGCGCGGTACGCAGCATGCAATTGGTATCAACACAGCTGAAAGCCCAAAGAAAGGAAAGTGCCCTCACTAAAGAACGCTCATCACTTTGAATGCGGACAGAAAAGTATTAGTAGTCGGGAAACATTACTTCTTGCCGGTTATCTGTGTATATATAGGAAGCATACACCCCGCAAAACTTGGTCTCAATCTATCACGATCACATCACCAAGCACCTCAGAACTTGATCATCCCAGCCAGGCTCAAAATTATTCTACCCGAATTCTTCTATTGAATCAGCCCAAACAAAGCTCGCACCATGTCTGACGAAAACCAGCTGTTTTGGAAGGCTTATGCCTCTACGGTCAAGAACATCATGAACAGCGGCCCTGTGGGCGAGAACGTCAGGGTCTACATCGCCGCCGCTAACACTGCGGGTATCTCTGGCGGTAAGGAGATTCCGCCTGAGTGCACCAACTGGGGAATCTACCAATATGCCGACTTCTTGCTGGATCCTACCAACCCCAACTGGGTCGCCAGCAAGGGTGCCCGCTACTCTGAGGCTCTCAACATGACCCTGCAGACTTTGACGCCGGTTCGTATTTTCTCCAGGGTAGATAATAGTACTTGTGAGACGCAACTGCTTATATGGTCTTATGCAGGGCAAAGGTGGCGATACCTCTCCTGACGCATGGGACAGGCTGAATAAGGCCAAGGAGAAATTGGCAATCTACAAGAAGGAGTTGGATGACGCCAAGAAGGAGGCTATGCAAGACTTTGCGGAGGACGACAACCCGGACAAGCCCAAGTTCTTCGCTCAGTGGGCTCCGTTGAATGCCAACGCGTACCTGGTCGCTGTCAACAACTGGTAAGTCAAGTCATGTCTGCTTTCACAAAGAACGAGTCCAATGCAAGTGATTTCGGCGACAGTGATGTCTAGCCGAGACAGACACCACTAACGAGACCGTCTGATGAACAGACAATCATAAGTGCTGACTTTGAAATCGACAGGGAGGGCGCTGCGAACGAGGTCCAGATGAGAACCAACGCAATTGGCGGCGCTGGTTCCGCCCTGTTGGCCAACGCCATGAAGCAGGCTGCCAACGGAACGAACACATTGACCGAATTGAACGGGTAGGCATCAATGAAGGTGCTGTATCTCAGAACTTGGAGCTGATGAATTCAAAATCTCGCAGATACAACATGAAGGCCAGCACCCAGTCGGTGACCTATGACGCCAGTGGAAAGCCCATCATCCCCAACCCTCTCAACACTCAATACGTCCCGCAATATTCCATTCAGGGCTACGCAGCTCTCCTCGATGGCTGGGTTGCCAACACAAACCAGCAGCCGTCCGAGTTCACGATCGACTTATCCAAGGGCGAGCAGTCTTCATACAAAGACCTGGGTTTCACTGAGGCACAGGGAAGTGCGTCCTTCAGCCGATTCCCTGTGTTTGAACTCTATGGCAGTGGTGGTGGACGAGTCGAGCACTCGAACTTTGACATGAGTTCGAACGCCAAGGACGTGAAGGTCAAGCTCAAGGTCCAGCACTACAAGACCATCCCCTTCGCGCCTGGTACCTGGTAAGTGCAACGAGTGCTCCTCTCAATACTCTGCAAAAGTCGCCATTTAACATATTTCATAGGAATTTGGACGTCAACGGCCTGATTGCTAAGCTGGAGGCCAAACCCCCGGCAATGTTCCAGAAGGTGCGTCCCACACAAATGCTGGTCGCCTCAGGTGTTAGCATGGAGATCAGCTTCAGCGGCAATGCCAAGACGGCCTTCGACAAGGACTACAAGAAGACGGTTCAGGGTGGCGGCGGCATGAGCATTTTTGGGTTCCGCATTGGAGCCTCCGGCTCTTCCTCGGAGGAGAACTCCTCTCACGGCAACACCTGGGACTCCAGCTCCGGTACCCTCACTGTCAACTCCGAGAACTCCCGCGCTTCTGCCAACGTGCTCGCCGTCATGGGCGAAATTGTCAGCGCTTAGAGACGGTCGTTGATAAAGAATTACCTGGTGCACAGGTCGAACACTTCTACTTGCATCACGATCTTTAGGAATTCAAGTTGCAGGGTCAAACTGTTGTAGCTCGAGGTCTACCTATAGCCTAACTCAAGTCATTCATTCATGGTTTTTCGGTCGCTGCTTTCCCGTGACGAGGTGTTGTGCTATCAGGAGCCAGCTCGGTAGATGAAGTAATTGTAGCCCATGATATGTGCGTAATTACCATGATAGACATGAAAAAATTCCTGGGTCGGAGACTTCATTGATAGTCGGCCCATCCTCTTGTCCCATAACATTCCCCTCCATAAACGGCATGTCCACACCATGAGTTGGAACAAATTTGATTGGGTCTGGAGAAACTTTCGCTTCCCACGTACCCTCAACATGTTCCAAGTCGCCGCTCCGTTCCTCCGATGAAGAGTCGACTGCAACCCGATCCACTGTATCATGCACGCTCGACGAATTTCGTGCGTTAAGCAAGAGTGCCAGCTTGGTAAGGTCTGTTTCATCCTCAGGGAATCTGACTGGCGTAGGCAGCCCAGTATCATCGCGGGGCAAGATACACCCAAGGTTTGAGACTATGCCGTGAATTGACGGACTCCCGCGCTGAGAAGCCGCAGGTTCTTCGAAGGTCCAGGGTTCGCCGTTACGAATCATGGCATACAACTTTTGAATGGCAATGGCAAGACTCTGCTGTGTAATTTCGAGGACTTCAATATAGCTGCGGGAGTTGTGTTAGCTAACCGCAGAGCACGTCGAGGAAAACTTCAACTCACCCATCGGGAGGCTTTTTGGGATTGGTTCGGCGTTTATAAGGTACACATATGGTTCCACTATCAACGCAGCGAGAGCAAGGCAAAAGGCCATCGCACTAAAACCTGGTAAGCCAGTGCACACCTAACTCCAGCTACATGGCAGCCCACCTTGTTCTTTTTTACCTTGCATCTACTGCATGCTCTGGATACCCTCATCTGTCTCCGTAGGACTGAGGCTTTCTCTGTGGATCTTTCGGAAGCATCTAGGGGTAACAGATGCAGACTATCTGCTCGGAAAGCCAAGAAACCGCGGGGGTGGGTTGATGTGAGTGCAGAACGGATACTGCGACAAGACCGCCGGGCCATTGCGACTGTCGTTGGTTAGGTCGGAAGCGTGACGTTGCAGGCTTGTAGAGCATGGAATCCGTTTTGTTTGTGAGAACAAGCTAAAGCGATACAAGGCGGGATGAGTTAGAGTTATTGAGGATTGTAAGTAGTGTATCTGTCGGAAAGGGGCCGCGGCGGCAAGTGCGCACTTGGTTACGTTCAGGGGTTCGGTATTTTCCCGTCCTGATATGCAGATAGTCCAATAACTAGATTTCGCAGTGATAGGACTGCGGTTTTTTTTGGTTATGCTCAACATTTTCGACAGAGAAGATTGAGTTTCATCAGCCGGTGGGAACGATGTCGAGAGAGCACAAATCTCAGCAGTCGTGCGAACGTGTCGATGACGGCTTCGGGCACAGCACCAGCTAAAGGCATTCCTACTTTTCGTCTTCTATGGGTCAGGATCTTGACTGCTTGGGCAGAGGATGCGACGATATTCCCTGTCTCCTACGTATCATTCCATGGATCTGATTGGATGGCATAGCGCTCCATATGCAGGATGTGATTTCCATCGAGATGCGGGATCGTCGTACTCCTCGGTCTTGACCTTTGTGGCAGCTCGCCGCAAGCATCGTTTCCGTCAAGGCTTTTCTTTACGATTCTGGAACCAAGTAGTCGTCACAACAGTACGGAGACATGGTGGCTGGATGAGGTAAATCATTGGGTTAGGGGGCCTAAGTTGGTAATTTCCCATCTTGAGAAACAGAATTATTACTCGCAGTGGATATCTTTCACTGCACGTTCCGATGAGAATATCAATGCTTCAACTTTCTCGTCAATAAGCCAATTACTACGCGTTAGAATAATTACGGCACTGAACTATTTCCTGTTCCGATCGCCTGTCGTCCGTTCCTCATACCTTTGCCTCCCTCAGGCTGGAGACTATTTGGCCGGCCGCAACGTCCTCGGCAACAGATCTTGTCATTTGCTAACACGATTGCTTCTACGGACTCAGCAACCTGGTCATTTGTTAGGTTACTAACAGGCCTTTACTGACGAGCATGCTAAACTACGTCACAGAAAGGATTAAAAGAATGGCCTGCCTAAAGGTTCATTGGAGGCGAATAAAAGCTTCCTAAATGGGCAATTTACTCGTGATTCTGACGAATTGAACTGTATAACGAAGTAACCATTGACACTAGATGTCAATTGCATCAAAGATGCACATGCGCCTCGTGCACCGTACATATCCTAACCCAGACTTCGTCAACACCAAACCAAACGCCCGCGTAGCCGTGCTATTTCACTAAAGGGAAACCACAATGAGAGAAAGTTCCATTCTCAATATTCCTACGGAGCTACTTTACGTTATCTTCGGGATTCTTGAGCCCATCGACCGCGTCTGTTTAGGATTGGCCGCCAGAAAGTTATACGTGGTCCACGGAAGCGTGTTTGGTTCGGTGCCCCTCAACGTCAATCGGGGAGCTTCATGCATAAGTTTGCTCAGCTCAGACCATTCTCTTCTCCTCTCAGAGACTCTTCGTCAACTTTCCTGCCCGAAGTGCGAAGGCCAGCAATGTGAGCTTCATCACCACATCAAAGAATGGATCGGCTCGGGTCTAGAATACTGTGCCGTTTCGCAGACTTTCCACCCAGAACCGCCTCGAAATGCTGTTCGTTGGTGTTTTAGAAATATTCCTAAATCAACAAAGAGATGTGGGCGGCACGATGGAAGAAGGGAATGGAAGGGCCAGGCGCTTGATGTCGCTGGGCGGAAACAGCAATGGACAGACGTGTAGTATGGATCAGAAAGCTGGCCGGCGAATCCATTCGAGATATTATTTCTCATTATTTCCATTGATTATATTCAGCTTGTGTACCAGCGAAATAATACAACCACCAGACACCAACCAAGAACAGAAATGAAAATCATCTTGCTGCTCCGGGCGGCGAGTTTCCACCTCCAAGCTCAATGAGTGGGGCCGTCGTAGGGAGCTCGGATGGTTGTCTTGAGTATCCAGGCGGCATCCTCTGCGAATACAATTCCTTTCTCTCGCCACTGTTCAGCTCGACCATGTTAGCCATGTTGCTGGCACCGCTAGACTTGGCAGCCTTCCTCCTCCTGAGCCAGATGAACCAAGTCAGCCCAAGAATCATCACCGCAGCGACGCTTCCGCCAACGGCGCCCCCAATTATTCCAGCATTGTTTGAAGCATTACCACTATCCGCGGTAGATGTGGACGCAGAAGGAGTCTGAGTTGGTGCCATGGTTGCCGATGTTGTGGATTCCGAGGTTGTTGTTGCTGATGTTGTCGTTCCTGATGTTTTGGCAACGACTTGTCCGTTCACAATACGCATTCCCAGCCCAGCTTCGCAGCATGATCGCGCCTGTTCATAGTAACCACAACAGTACGTCTGTTCATCCCCTTCTCCATCATTGCAGCCTGTGACTGCCTGATCCATTTCGTTCATCGGAAGTTGGTCAATACCTGTCACGAAAACAACGGGTTACTAATGCTCAGTATTCCAAAGTACGACGCTTCCAAAGTCCTGCCCTCGAAAGGGTTCCGCGAGGCTCAAGGAAACAATGTTACTTACCAGTTTCGTTTGGGGAGATGCAAAGCTTTAAACATCCCGGAGATTCCCAGGTCTGATCCGTACAGCTCCCCCGCCAAAGTACATTGCTAGAAGGCTCCCAACAAAGGCCAGAGCGTTGGCACCTGTCCTTGTTGTGTGTGTTGCAACACATGCTAACACCATCCTTTTCGCATGGATCGTACTCATTGTCTCCAATGTTGCTGAGGCTATGGCGATCGATGCCATTGGGAACGTAGCATGCGCCCTTGGCATTTGTAACTGTTGCAAAGAAAGCTACAAGAACGATGGTCGGAAACATTGTAACAGAAATGATAAAGATATACTCCAAAGTGCACTTGAAAGATTTTGAAGCAGCCAATAGTTTGGAATGGGTAAGAAGGAATAAGCGCAGGCAGTCAGTCTTACCCTAAGGTAGTTGAGTGGTGAAGGAAAGTTGGAAACTCGCGGGTCAGCCATCTCCATGCGTGGACTGGTTGTACAAATACAGGCCTCAGGTCCCACAACAGGCAGTAATTGAGGTGTTATGCCTCTCCTTTCGCAAACAAAAATATCGCCAAGTCCTGCAGGTCAGAATTATGATGCCGATCCGGGATTTCTTGGCAGTCAGAGAAAGAGAGAAAACTTACCACTCTCGAGAAATGAAGGACCAGGACGGGGATATGATAGGATGGAAGTTGGCCGTTGGAGCCTGCCTCGCACCCACAAGCAGAAATCAGGCGGCGAATCGGGGTGCTTGTCTACACAAGGCTCGCAGCCTGATCTCGATTTTGGTTCTAAATCAAGCTTAAATGCAGTGGCTGAGGCAGACCCTGGTTATATGCTACTTTCTGTGTCCCGCTTCTTTCCAGGCTGCCTGCTTGCCTATGTTACAGTGCATGGTTGATTGATGAAGCCTGATTTTTGGCTGGGTTTATACTAATCGCACCAAACTTCTACCGTTGATGAAAGCTTCGCATGGTAACTGCGTCGTGTTGTCTCTACCCCACAAAATTCGATGTTTCACCTCCTTTCCCCAACCTCTTGCCATTCCAATACGTCGAAAGGTCCCTGAGTCTCGGTCCTGTAACTCGAGTAGCAAAACGTACAGGCTACCTTCATCACCTTTCCTTTCTCTTGCTGGCATACAGAATAAGGTTGACGTCGAGTTCTGCTCGTCGAATTCTGAATGATAAGTGTCCAGCATTACATGAGGCTGGGGTTCTCGGGCCTTAGAATCGGACAGAATGCTGACATTCGTGCCGTTAACGACCATTTCCCAGTCCGCCGTGGTGCATGTAGGAGAAGATCGATAAGGTATTAGTTTCAACGTCTTCAATTCACCCCATATCCTCAACCAGCCGCCCCTTATAAAGCCTGTTGTATCTGGTGTAGCATAGTCGAGGTCGTAGTCTTTGACCGCAATGATGACATCTGTTTCTGGTACGTCTGGAAGTCCGGGATTACCGTTGCCGGATGTCGATGCCCAAGACCAGCTCGGCGCTGTGTATGTAACCGGTGTCCGATCGGTAGTATCCATGGCATCTGCATGAGCCCGGTACTCGATGCCGAACCGGTGCGTGGATACAGACACCGACCAAATCAGCTCCCGAGCAAGGTACTTGCGCCACATTCCGGCAACATACTCATCTCCTAGAGCTTTCATGACTTTCTTCGCGATTGCAGAAATAGCAACTAGCTTGTCTTGCTGAAACGTGAGCTTGCAGGTTGTGTATGTCTTCACTATCTCAGCCCAATAGAGGTAGACGTGGAGGTCGTTGTTGAAGGTGGATTGGTTGGGGATCCCGAATCCTTTCAGACTAGTCGAGCACGGCCGAAGGTTGACAGGCAAGTCGTCAGGATAAATCTCCGCAGTCTCTGTGCAAAGACACTCCCACATTACTTGGCGTTCTCCGAAGTGTAATATTCGAGGCGACAAGAGCCTTTCCTGTAACACCCATGCTCTTTCGTTGATTGGAGTTTGAGATACTTCGTTGTCCCAGAAGCTGTAGTCTACCACAAAGTGTCGGACAAGTTGTCCTTCAAGGGGCAGGTCGACCATCTGAGGTGTTAAGCTTATTAGGTTTCGATTGTGAAACATGGAGCTGTGACCATTTGGGGCGTGTGTTGCTGATATGTTGCAGTATGACTTGCCATAAACTTCCCCCATCCGCGTTGATTCCAATCTCCAATCAGCCAGTCCATCACCTTCCTGAACAATGCATAATGAGTCGATCCAAAGGTATTGAACCCCCAACTGCCGAGTGACCCAAACTGCGTCTTGATATAACACTGGTAAGTCTCCTAGTGGGAATCCTCTGGTCAAAGACTCGTAGTTTCCCGCAGTCAGACGCAAACAGTCTACAGATCCCCAGCAATGGCTCAAAGTCATGTACGGACCATGAAGGTTTGAAATGTCGGTATCGATGATCCGGCATTGCACGCTGGAGTCGTTTGGAGAACTGCAGTCAAGAAGACGAGTCGGATACCACTGAGTGTCTGTTGGACTTGTCTTGGAGCACAGTTCGTGGCTTTCTATGCATTTTCTGATCCATCCTTTCGCAGTGATAATAGTCTCGGAGGATTTCGTGGTCTCAGAGTGGAATTTTGCAGAACAATATTCTGGGGTGTCTAATTAGCAATTAGCGACGCTTTCGTAAAAAATACTTTCATGACAGTTGCACACCATGGAATGGCTTCAGCAACAATGCCGGACGCCAGTACGGTCTTGGCTTCGACAGGGACGGTGTGCTCAAAGGTCCCGCGTTAAAGGCAACCTGCCACAGGAAGCATTTAGGGTGACCGAATTGCGCCCCATCGGAGATTGAAACATTTGAGAGGGGACCGATTATATCACTTGTTTCGACCTTTTCGGAGGGTAGGTTTGTTGCGACGGCATCTTCAGGTTGGCTATTGGAACCCGCCGCTACCAGCTGTCTTTCCTCGGGGTCTAGCACCGCCCACAGGCGACTGCAAGCATAACAACCGGCATCGACGGACCTCTTGAGGCTTCTACAGCTCAGGTGGTGAGGCTTTTCTTGCGCTTCCGAAATGGGATAGGTGTAAAAGCCTGGCTTCGCAAGACAATCTTGACAGATCGGACAAATGAGACTCATTTTGTCAATGCATGAAGTCTTTCGCTACAGAAAGTCACACTGAGAAATAGCGATGTAGCGTAAGAAGCGACGAATGGCAATGATATATGAGAAATGAAGGGTTCACATTCACCAATTAATATGATGATCAGACTTCTATTGGCTGGAAATTACCGAGGATGCTGCAGGTTGAGATATGTTGGCCCCTATCACTTTGGCGAATAAAGCGCATCGTTGGGACAGGGTGACTTTGGTTCCTTTGGACCCTGATCATAATTTTTATTGGTGGTTGAATCAGATTGATGAATCCAGAATTGCCTGAAAGAACACACGAAACCTGTGGGGAAAACCTTAGAAGGGAAGTGGATTTAACCTTGGATTTGATATTCGCCATACTAGGATGTCAGAACTCAACAAGTAAGTGCTTTCTTGTCTGCTTTACAATTTGTTCCCCATATTCACATGGACGGCCTTGATTTGCGAATACGCCTCCAGGCCGGCCTCACCAAGCTCCCGTCCAATGCCACTCTGCTTCACACCTCCAAATGGCACCCTAGGATCACAATCCTGGCTGCTGTTCACCCACACCATACCGGATTCGATCTCAGAAGCTACTCTGTGCGCCTTCTCGAGGTTTGTGGTAAACACCGCGGCACCAAGGCCGTAGACGCTATCATTAGCAGTAGCGATCGCTTCTGCCTCCTCAGTGAACTTCTGGATCACGACCACAGGGCCAAAAATCTCCTCCTTCCAGATCCTCATATCACTCTTCACGTCGGTGAAGACGGTTGGGGCAATGTAGTAGCCCTTAGGAAGGTGTGCTGGTCTCTCTCCGCCAGTTTTGATCGTCGCGCCCTCCTCTCGACCGATCTTGATGTATGAAAGGATACGCTCGTGTTGCTGCTTCGAAACCTGAGGGCCCTGGTATGTTGTCTCATCCCATTGGTGGCCGACCTTGCTGGTCTTCTCGACCTCCTCAACGAACTTTGCAACAAACGTATCATAGACGTCTTGCTGGACTAGGATCCTGGAGGTAGCAGTGCAAATCTGGCCCTGGTTGGACATGATTCCCAGATGGGACCACTTCATAGCTTGCTCCATATCGGCATCGTTGAAAACCAACAACGGCGACTTTCCGCCCGTTTCCAATGTGATGTTCTTCAGCGTTGCTGCAGCCATCTTCATGATGTTGGTCGCTGTGCCCGTTGATCCTGTGAAGGCGACCTTGTCAACCAGGGGATGCTGGACAAGGGCCGCGCCAGCGTCCTTGCCGAGACCGTTGACGAAATTCACTACACCCGGGGGGAATCCCGCTTCTTTAATGAGGCGTCCGAGAATGAGGATACTCAAAGGAGTCTGTTCAGCCGCCTTGAGAACGACAGTGTTACCGCATGCCAGCGCGGGGCCCAACTTCCATCTAAGAGTTGTTAGCTGCGGGCGCGGTACCGCATGCGAGTTTGACTCACGTCGCCATGGAGAGCGGGTAGTTCCATGGGATGATCTGACCGACGACTCCAACCGGTTGTCGGACGGTGTACGCAAACTTGTTCGGAACGCTGATGGTCTGACCAAAGATCTTGTCGCACCAACCGCTGTAGTAACGGATCACTCCAACTGCTTCAACGAGGTCGTTGGTCAGAGCCTCGGTGTATGTCTTGCCTGTAATGCGATTTGGTTAGAAGATGATGACCAAGACGTTCATATCGGCGTCAGTCTTTGCTCACCATTGTCCCATGCGTCGACTGTCGCAAAAAGCTCCTTGTTCTCTTCGACTAGATCGGCCAGGCGGGCCATGAGGATGCCTCTGTCTGAGGCGGGCAACTCTTTCCATGACGGATTCTTGAGGGCTGCCGCTGCGGCTTTCACGGCCTTATCGACGTCATCAGCAGAGGCGGCGTGTACGGATGCGATAACCTCTTCTGTTCTGGAGTAGCGTGTCAGTTTTTGATCCTGAAACATATCCCTTCCGAAAATTGGTTGTTGCACTCACGCGGGGTCAATGGCGTCAATCTTCTGGCCGTTCGAAGATGGCACGAATTCGTTGTTGATAAAAAGGCCGGTTGGCTGGCTCCACTTGCGGCCGTTGGGAGCCGTGAGCTCGACAGAGAGATCTCCCATTTTTGCAGCTGCTGGAAAAGGAGAGGATTGGCTGTGTTGCGTGTGGTCGGCGGGTTCACTCTTCGTTATCAATATTTCAAGGTAAATCAAGAGAGAAAGAAGTGGCGGAGATGAGCAACCTGTGAAGCCAACTGTGAGATATTCAAGACAGGCTCTTCATTTCAGATATGATGTGGTAAGATCCAAGCTACGATTTATCTCATCGACGACCGAACTCGGCCTCAGCAGAAGGCCTTTACTCCGACTTGTGACGCACTTTACCCTCAGCATCGGCGTGGCCTGCCGGGGTGCTGAGAGCATACGACGTACTGCCCCTCCCCCGCAGTGGAGAGCTCAACTCACATCAATTTAGATTCCAGGAAGAATCGACTGGTGCATAAATGATCCCTAAAATTCAAGATTCACCTTCCATATCTGTCCAGTCGATAGCTTTCCGATTGTCTTCCTGATCCAAATCTGTAAACGTGTCTCAGAGACCAGACTCGTCGCGGACACCTTCCTGATAGATGCCCCCTTGATGGTGAGGGGCAACAAGCAGCTTAGTTGGAATGAGGGGTATTAACCCCACCATCGTTGGCGATAAGGGGTGTGGTAACTGGCGTGGTCCCTGAATTACCCCTCCATCTGCGGACAGGGTAGCTCCACGTCATGAGAAATCAGAGACTGTAGTCCAGCTGAATCGTGATACTGTCAGACTTGATTATTTGCGTCGCTTGAGTGTATTGTATGTGATATGACAATGACTTGATTTTTATCTATCTACAAGCTTTAGATTTGTGCAGAAAATGACATTGTTCAGAGGTTGCTTCGCTGTACCTCGGCCTCGCGCTCCACCGCCTTAGGAATTTCATCCAGCAGACTCTCGCCCGTTGGCGCCCATCCGAGCAACTCCTTGCCCCTGACTGCCTCGCTGCGCGCGTTGGTTCCAAAGAGTACAGCGCCATGGGGTAGCAGAGTGTTTGCATCCTCGGGGCCGAGGACCTCGACATCGTCTGAGGGGATCAGGCCCTTCTTCGCGGCGGCCGTAGCGACAAGCTTTGAGATTTCGCCAAATGACTGCACGAAACACAATTAGCAAGAAAACAAATACAAAGGTAGCACAGGAAATCATGACTTACGATCTCGCCCAACCCAGTCAGATACAGGCCGTTCTCGTTCCAGACCTGCGCATCAGTCTTGCCCTCAACGGCCTTCTCAACCAACTTCACAAACAGCTGGCTGACATCCTCAACGTGCACATTGCCCCAGCGGCTCAGGCCCTTGCCGACCTGGATGCCTCGCTTGCGCTCCAGCGTCGTCTTGGCCAGTGCAGGGACTTGGACGCTGCGCTTGTTGCCGGGACCGAGGCCTTGGCCGTAAATAGTGGGCGGGAAGACCAAGGCAGTGTTGATCTTCGATTCTTCGGCCGCGACCTTGAGGATGTAGTTGTCGACGGCGCGACTCGGGTGGCGTTGGATGATCGAGCGGATGTCGGCGATGCCAGTGAGATCGTTGAAGACGAGGTCGCTGCCGTCACCGGGGGCGCGGTTCTTGTCTGCCAGCTCGGCCGCGGCGAGAGCACTGGCACCAGAAACTTGGATCCAGTGTGCTACCCAAGTACGCAAATGAGCATGCGTTCAATCGATCGAATTCAGCGGCTACTGGAGCAAGAACATTAGAGAATTGCTTACATTGCTTCTGATCAGAGGCGAGGGCCTTGTGAATAGTCTCGATGCTCTTCAGGTGGCCAGTTGAGGCCAGGTCTGGAAGTCGTCGTCAGCAATCCGAACAATGCACTGAACGCATAGCCTGCCGAAACTCACGAAGAATAACATCGGCGCTGGAGGCCTCCCGAGTCAAAACGTCGGCGCTGTCCAAATCTCCCTCTACGACCTCTACGTCCTTAAATGTGCCTGTAATAATTTTGCCCTTTGCGCTGTCGCGGACGAGTGCTCTAATGGCATATTCAGGGTGGGACTTGGTCAACAGCGACAGGACAGTGCCGCCAATGTAGCCTGTGGCTCCGGTCCTGGACCTCTGGTTAGCGCTTGGTTGCACTTACACGGGGCTTTGTGTCAGTCTGTTACTGATTACCGGACAGCAGACTTACAGAAAGATCTTTGCCATTGCGTCGTTTTCGTAGCAGATAGGTTCAAAAACTTGAGTAGCGAACAGCACTTGAGGGTGAAAGCGCATGAGGAGAGATTGAGTTATGTACCTTGCTTGAAGCTCTGTGTCCTGGCATGTGCAATTGGATATATATGGCGTCGACGGGCACCTCGGGCTCGCCTTCCAAACATGGGGTGGTACAGGGGGTCCAGATTACCAATGCAGTAGCTGTCTACGCGCCCTGTCGAATTACACAATCCACTACTTCATTGCGTCACGGCCAACATCGTGGTTTTCACACCAATTGTTCACGATGATTGTGTTCAGCTGGTCCACTTCAACATCTTCTAATGTGATTTTGTCGTTCGAGAACTATCCATCATAGCTTTGATTATTTCAGCGCCAAGTTTTCACCGAACTTTTCTATCTTATGGTCCCATTCCCGTGGCCTACTGAGCCTACGATAGCCGCTTGCACACACTCTCCAACACTTCAAGGAAAATATCAGCTATTTTCGAAGTTAGCATGGTTCTCTCCAAGTCAATGATGGCCGTCTATCTTACCGTGGTTCTTCTGGAACACCAGCATTGGCCTTAAGCGAATGGCGGCGTCACCGCTGCCGCCCATGTTAACACCTCTAGCCTTGGCGAGCGCCAGCACTTCTTCTCTCCTGGGCGCATCCCAAGCAATGAAGGTGCCACGGTCTCTGCCACGGAGGTTCTGGACGTGTTGCGGGTATTTGCTCGCCAGCTTCTCCAATTCGCCAAACAGATATCCTCCAACCTTTGCAGTATGCTCAACCAGGCCATTCTTCTGGATTTCTCCGTAGATAGCTTTGAACAACAGCGCTCGGACAGGGTCGCCCATCCAAGTGTTGAATTGACGGTAGGGCTTATCCGGCCGCAAGCCAGCATCACCAAAGTAGAAGCCTGCAGCCTGGGCCTTCTTGGAGAAGGTCACCATATCCGGCGGCGAAGACAAGTTCCAGTGCTCATGAGCCCAGAATTTTCCAGTCGCTCCGACACCAGTCTGCACCTCATCAACAATCAGCAAGACGCCCTTGCGCTTCGTAAGCTCCCTGAGACCCTGGAAGAAAGCTGGCGAAGCATGGTTATCGCCGCCCTCTGATTGAACAGGCTCAACGACCACTGCCGCAACTGTCTGCTTGGCCTCCTCCAGCAAACGCTCTGTTTCTTCGAGGCATCTCTTCTCTTCAGCCGCATTCTCTGCAGCAAACTGGTCCAAAGGATACTTCAACTGAGGGAAAGGCGCAACGGGCCAATCGAATGCTGGTACGTCAAGCTTGTGGATGGGCTTGCTTCGCGTCGTTGATAAGCTACCAAACAGGCGACCGTGAAAGCCCTTTTGGAACGACATGATGGAGTACTTCTTGGCGCCAGGTGCTTGGTTCACCATGACGGACTCCAGCTCAGCGGCACTGAAGTCGGCCCCACCACGCTCTTGTGTTCCTTTCCAGATGCAGGCCGCCTTGTACGCTGTCTCGTTCGCATCGGAGCCGGTTGTTGCAGTAAAGACCTGGTTGAGACCTTTGGGGCCCGCTTTCAGAATGCCGGTCTTCAGCAGTTCTGCATAGTCCGTTGAAGGAAAGCTTCCAAGTGCAGGTCTACTGGCGATTGCTCGGATCATTGCTGGGCTGGTTGACGCCTTGTTGAGTTCTGGGTTGTTGTAGCCGAGAGGAATTGAAGCGATCTGTGCGAAACTGCAAAACGGTTCTGGTCAGAGCAAGGCCTTCAGTAGGCAAAGTAGGCAGACTTACACGTCTAGAAACTGGTTGCCATCGGCATCCACCAGACTTCAATTGGTTCGGTTTAGCAAGAAGTCGTCCAAGGCATACATGGAGTTGGCTTACTAGTTTCCAATGGACTTCTCATAGTCGACAAGTGTGTTTGCGCTGCGAGTGTCAAAGACTTGCTCCAGCTTCGCAAGTCCTTCCTTCACCTTAGGTCCAGGCACCGAGGCAGTGACAACTCTAGGCTCAGAGGGCTCGCCTTGGAAGGCAGCAGGAAATACCGCGGCAGAAAACCTGCGAACACTGCATTTCTGCTGAGGGCAACGCCGTGTGGCAGCTGCCAGGGTAAGTGGGTGGGAATGTCGGAGACTGGCCATCATGACTCTGCTGTTCAAATCCTGGTAGTCGAATATTAGAAACAACTCAGCAAATCAGGAACTCCTCCGATCTTGATCTCTGGGTTCGAGAAAGCTTTTGAGCCACCTGTGGACTTACACGAGCTGTCCAGGAACTCAGCTCGTCGCGCAAGCATGCCCATCAAATGGTGGGTCTTCTCGGCACTGTCTTCTTCCCATTCTGGGCTGTGAAAGAAGGAGCATAACTTCAACGGCATTCCCGAACAGCCATGAAGCATTCCCATGACTAAAATCCTGGGGAAATCGATGGTCGGGTCGCCGTTCCGGCATCATCCTAGACCGAGAAAGTCCGGTCCGGCCCCATGAAGTGGCTTCCCCACATCCGCTAGCGCCGATAAGTACGTCGCGGAAACCTTCCTCGTTTTGAAAGGCAGGGGAAAAGGAGCCAAATCTGGTATCTTGATTCTTCTCACTTCACACAACTGCCCCGTGATCGCTGCAACACGCTCTTGGCTTGTCTCCAGAAAGCGACTCCGCCAGTATCGAAACCCCGCGATACGACGACATCTTGACTCCGCCAGTTTCCCCGCTGACTTTCCTTTAAGTGACGACAAGAAGCCTTGGAATCAGGCCAGTCGGGAATACAAGCCTGAAATGCTCCTCGCCTCTGCCTCCTGAGAACAACCAGCACGCAATACGACTATCTACCGTTTCTGTCTCTCGCTTTGCCCTGCCTTACCTCATCGACAATGCCTGCCACGACCAGAAGCAGAGGGCCCAGTAATTCCGGGGCGGCCACCCGGAAGAACCAGCAGAGCCAGAAGCCACCTAGGGGAAAGCCACAGTCGACAACAGCAAGCAATAACGCAAAGAGGGTCCCGCGGTCGAGGACGTTTACTGGTTGCCGTACCTGCAGAAGCCGACATCTCAAGTGCGACGAGGCCCGCCCGATATGTTCCTCCTGCCGCCGTCTGAATCTCGTATGCGAAGGCTACGACGGCCAGCTCCTGTGGGTTCCAGATCCGCTGTGCTCGGCCTCGGGCGACCAGAAGCATGCCTCCTCCTCGCACCGTGGCACGTCGTACCGATACCCGCTCTTCACCGAGGATGAACGCAACTCGATGGCCGTCGAGATTGTCGAGAGCATGGGCGATCGCTCGGCTGGCGACATTGTTCTCGACCTCGACGAGAAGAGCGTTCACGGCGTGGATGAAGTGTGTTTAGACGGTCCATTTGGAGTTTTCAGAGCGTTCGAAGGCGATTCCATCACGAATTCGGACACATCCTCCTCCCCTCTGCTGCAACAGTCGGAGAGCTCTCCGACTTCATCACCAGCAGAAGCCTTGCCCGATCTCGTCGGCGGCGAACTGCTGGACGATGACGTTGAAGAAGTGGTCATTGAGCCATGGTCCGTTCATGACGACCATATCGCGATAGAACCATCGTTTCTGCCTGGGCATTTTGACGCTTTTGGTACAGACGCCATGATGAACCTCGGCCAACCATGGATGCATGGGGAAGGCACAGGAAGCCTCAGCCATATGATGTCAATGGATGGTTCCTTTTCAGCATTGGACTTGCTTTTCTCTCCCACCTCACCACGGACTCCTGCTATGGCCCATATAGACCAAGCCCAAAGTCATCACCCAGAACACCAACAAGAGCTGAACCAATTGCGATTGCCAGAACAACAACAGCAAGACACTGACCGGGTGCAAGAAGATACCAATAACATCACCGGTCCACCATCGGACATGAGCCTACCCATACCGCGCAAAGTTTCCACGCCATTCACTAACAACCTACCCGGAATCACACCATCTTTACCAACGCACGCGGCCTCCCTTCTACGATACTACAAGTCCATTGACTCACTATCTTCTGTCAAGGGCATGAGAATATCGCCGTGGCAGCTGTGGCTTCTGCCTTGCGCACTAGAAACCTTTGCCGAGCTTTCTCTTTGGAACACTACCACCCATACCAGACATAGTATTCTCTGTACCTTGCTGGCTAGGAGCGCCTTCCACTTACATAGGTCTCTCAAGGCGGATGAGAAGGCAGCATCCCAGTGGTTGGAGGTCGGTCTGGACTACCAAAAGAGCGCGCAATCCCATCTGAAGATGGCACTACAAAGCGAGTCGGACGAGCCCAGCCAATCCAAGTACAATGAGATTCTCATGGCAATCCTTGCCACGGCTATGGTTTCGGTCAGTATTTCATCCGCTCCCTCATCCATCAACCTGTTGCTCTAATGCTTGCATAGGTACTCTACAACGGCTCCCGTGCGGTCAAAATCTTCCTCCTCGACGCCGAACGACTGATCCGTCTTCGAGGTTTATCGATGCCCAGATCATTCAACCTTCGTGTTCTCCACCACGTCTACACACATCTGCGTGTGATTGCAGAAAGTACAGATATATCTAGCGACAACGCTCCGAAGACAGGCCAAGCCCTATCAGCACAGGCCCAGGCGCAAGCAGCAACCGAAATGGCCGTCTCGCTCCGCAAGTTCCGTATCGCAGAAGACTCTCTCGGTGCCGACCTCGACATCTCTCGCGAGAAGCCCGCCGAGGTTGGATACGCAGATATTCACCTTGACATCTCGGGCCATTGGCCTATCACGATGTACCCTGATATCTATGGCGTGCCCGAGTCCCTGATGACTCTACTGTCTCAGACTATCAGCTTTGCCAACGAGAAGGCCAAATTGGAGGCTATCGCACTGTACGACCCTCGCGTCTCGGCAGGTCTGTCAAGACATGTCAAGATGCTGGAGCAACACATCTGGTCGTGGTCGCTTGATTCTTCCGATAATCAAAACGGACCCAGCAGACCTCGGGAACTCATGAATAGGGACGCTAGGCTCGTTGATCACCCAGTCATCAAGTCCTTGACACTAGCGATGCATCAGGCATTGATAATCTACTTCTACCGCAGGGTGTACAACATGAGCGCCATGGTCATCCAAGATGCCGTGCGCAAGACTCTGGATTACATACAACCCTGTCTAGAGGAGACGGCGGACGACCATGACTTTGCTACCAGTATCGGATGGGCTGGGTTCATTGCCGCATGCGAAGCTACGACGCCTGATCTTCAGGAGCGAGGAAAGCTAATTTTGGAGTCTATTGATACCCAAGGCGTTATTTTCGGGGCGGATAAGCCGAGCGTGTTGGCTCAAAGCGTTTGGGATAAGAGGAAAGAAACGGGGGATTGGACTTTGAGCTGGCCAGATTTGATGCAAAGCAGCATAACCAGCGCTGCCGCAAGTGCAAGTCACTTAGTAAGTAATACAAGCTAATCAGCCAAGTTGACGCTATCACCACTACCTAAGTAAGTAATTTATCACCCCTTAATTAAATTATTAAACTTAATATCTTATTTATAAATAGATCTAATTAATAGGAGGCTATAGATTAGTTAGCGCCTTATTTATTCTAATATATATAGTTACTAAAATATAATACTATTACTAATATTATAATATCTCTATATCTAATTAATACTTTATAAACTACCTTTAAAATACTAGACTTTAAGTAATCCTTTTAAAACTTTCTAAGGGGGTAGAAGTTATTATAGTAGTTTAAATAGTATAAAGAGTATTATAATTAGCTATCTTTAATAAAAGATATTTATTATCCTATATCTTCCTTATTATTTATACTTATATATTTATATTTATATATTTATACTTCTTTTAATATTAACTAGTACTATTACCTCCTTATCTACTACTAATATATATATATTTTTAAGTACCTCTTATACTTAAATCTTAACTTAAGTTATAGTTACCCTTATTATTAGTACCCCTCTAAATCCTATAATTAATAACCTACCTTATATTATTATAAGTAATTAGAAGTATATAATTAAAGAGTAGTTATTATAGAAGTAAAATAAGGGTTAATTAAGCTAGATTTAGTATTATAGCTACTTCTTTATTAAGGTTATATAAAGCTAAGCTAGTACCTCCTTTTAGAGTTATTAGTAATATAATATAAAAAGAGCTTTATAGCTATTTAGTACTCTTATTACTACTACTAAATAAGAGTACTTACTTTAATATATTATTTTAAACTTTTAGACTATATAAATCATACTTTAATAATATTAAAGTAGCTATAATATCTATAAGATCTCACTTCTATTAGATAAAGACTTTAATAGTATTACTCTTACTTTCTTACCTCTTATATTAATATTATCTCTATATAAAAGACTTTACTATATTAATATTAATATCCTAAAAACTAAAATTATAACCCTTAAAAACCTCTATATTACCTCTATTATCTCTATTAATCTACTATTTACTTATTTTAAGAATATCTTCTTCTAGTAGATCTTTTAGTATTATAGTATAGAAGTTATTAATAAGGTTTTATAAAACTAAAACTTTATCTAAGATTAATTTTAAGACTTCTTCTAATATAGTAAAACTTTTATAATAGCTAAACTCTACTTAGTAATATTAAAGATATATTTATTATTTAATTTATAGTCCTTACTTAATATTTATATCTTTATAGTAGTTACTAGTTACTTTATTAATAATAAAAGTACTTTATAGTTATATCTTCTAGCTTTCCCTTAATATTATAGAAACTATAATAATAAAAGTTTTATAAAAACCTTTATTAGTATTATTAATTAGTATTAGATTTAGGACTATATTAGAGTAATAGTTACTAATAATACTATAAATAATAATACTTACTTCTAAGTTTTCTACTAATAGATTAACCTAAAGATAATAGAGATAGATATCTAAACTTAGTATATATAGTATTATAACTATATCTTTAATTTTATAGCTTAGGCCTTCTTATTTAATAAGAATTAAAGGACTCTTAAGACTAAATTAGATTATTATTAGTTTATAGAGTAGTATAATAAGGATCTAAAGGTATAGTAATATCTTAAGCCTATTAACTAGCTCTAAAATATTATTAAATTTATATAAACTTCTCTATAATAAATAGAATAATACTAAAAAGTAGTAATAGAGATTAATAATAGCTCTAACTTCTAGATCTTCTCTAAATTATACTAAGAAGCTTAGCTTATACTAAATAATAATACCTATTAGAATAATATATATCTAATAATTAAGAGGGCTATAAAAAAGAAAGTAGAGATTTAAGCTTTCTTATTAGTTAATAATAATAATAATAATATTAAGTAGTATATATTAAAATTAGACTTACTCTCTATTAATAATTAGAAGGTCCTTATTAAGATCTTAATAACCCTTAAACCTTTCTATTACTAGATAAAGTAGTATAAAAGCTAAGGTATTAATAATAGGTATAGCTAACTTTAAGAGGTTATAATAAGTATTAAATACTTTCTCTTATATTTTATTAACTAGAAGATATATTATAATACTAATATTAATCTTAAAGTTAATAATAATAATAAGGGTACTTTTTAGTTATTATAGCTATCTTAAAAACATATTAACTAAGCTTAACACTATTAGTATAATATTTAAGCTTTACCTATTTATATATAGAAGGATTAAATATTATTAGTCTTATAATCTACTTTATAATTTAAGACTTTTAATAAAGAGTAATAAACCTTCCTCTATAATAATATTAAATAGGTATAATAAAAGCTCTTTAATTACTATAAATTTCTTAGAAAATTACTATTATTCTCTAATATAATTATTCTATATTTATTATATAATATCTTATACCTAAGAGATATATAGAGTAAGGATTACTAAAAGAGATAGATTAAGAAAACTTTAAGTATCTTTATAAAGTACTTTAATTAGTAATATTATTAACTTAATAAGATCTTACTATTAAGCTAATAAGCTAGTATACTTCCTATTAATCTTAATACTAAAGATATAGAAGATATTTACTATTAGTAATAAGTTAATAACTAGTATTATTAGATACTACTTTAGATAGATAAACTTAATCTCTATTTCTATTAACTTCTAGAAACTATTTCTAATTTAGTATAGTAATAGATAGACTATATAAAAACTTTCCTAAAACTCTCCTAACTTACTATTAATATCTTCACTATACTAGTAATAGTAATTAACTATAAGAGGACTTTTAATATTACTAAATTAAGTCTCTTATTATAGAGGTTCTTAATAATACTAAATACTATAGAGACCCTCTAATTAAATAAGAACTAGTTAAAGAGGGGGGTAATAATACCTTAGAATTACTTTAAGCTACTAGGGGTATTATAACTTTATTTACTTATTACCTAATTAGGAAGTAGTAATAATATTATTTACTATAATATTTAACTTACTATACTTATAAGTTAGTTAATAATTAAAGCCTAAGAAAAAGATCACTAAGTTAATAAGTATAGGGGGCAAAATTAACTTGATTGCACTTGCGGCAGCGCTGAGCATAACTAGATGATAGAGGAACGAAATTCAGTGCTGGCGAATTCGCTTAAGAAGAAACCCTTTCCTCAACTGCTAGCTTTATGCCCCTCTCCATATTCAATAGGTCCGGAAGTAAGGAAGGTTGCTGATGGAGAATGGATGACTATCACACTGTGAAATAATCGCACTCGCACCGGCGAGGCAATTTACGCAACAAACCATGCAATTCCAGTGAACCTTTGCATCATTTCCATTGTTTCCGCGGCATCGCGCTGATATTATTGACTGGAGCCGGTCCTGTTTCGGCTTCCGCGGAGGACCGGAGCGGAACGGGCGGATTGATGCACTCGCCGAAGCTCCGGTTTCTCATCCTTGACCGGTCTGTCTCCGGCTCTCCTTAAATATCAAAGGCTTTTCGTTTATCCCATCAGGAAATAGCTCCGTGAACAGCTGCTCTTTCTTGGCATTCTTCATCATCTCGTCGTCATATCTGAAATGGCATCCGACTCCGATTATTCGCCGGCGCAGCTACTTGAGCACGCCCAAACTGACGTACGATTCCCCGTAGCAGAGCCGTTCCTTTCGGCTGTTCTCTCTCGCCCCCCTTTCATAAACGTCGCCGGTACATTCAACACCAGGGACGTCGGGTTGGTTCCGGGTACTCCTCTTCGGAAAGGCTATGTGTTTCGCTCTGGAGCTCTCGAAAGCCTTGATGAGGTCGGCAAACAGCAAATTGCGGGTCAACTCGGTATCAAGAAAATATTCGATTTGAGAACGAGCCATGAGCGAGAAAGGTATCCGGAACCAGATGTACCTGGTGTTGACATAACGTGGATCCCAAATTCATACAGCAACACTGTTGACATCGACGACTTTGTTAGTGGGGGTGGCGAAGAAGGCTACTGCAAGATGTACATGGATATCATGGATATATACGCACCAACCATGAAGACCGTCCTTGAACACGTCAGAGATCGGCCACAGGAACCATTCCTCTTCCACTGCGCGCGTGAGTTGCGACCCCTGACATCTCCGTGGTCTTGAGTTCTTACTAACCCATAACTGCTTCGAAGTTGGCCGTGATAGGACCGGTATTCTTGCAGGCTTCCTATTGTCCCTAGCTGGCGCTAATGCGGAGACGATTGCTCTGGACTACATGATCACCCGAATTGGTTCGGAGCCCGTCCGTGAGCTTTTGCTTCAGCGGGCGATAGAAGAGCACAATTGCAACTTTGATGTCCCTGTTTTTCACAATCTTTGCAGTCTCCGATTATCGACCTGGCAACTATTCGCAATGCATGTGGAAGCTAAATACGGAGGTTTTGAGAAGTACGCCATGGTCAGACTTGGATTTTCTCGGGACGAAGTGGAACGAATCGCTGGCCACTTGAGAGCATAGATAGTGGCCTATCATAGCGTCACTTGTGTGAAGGGTTTGCTTCGGAGTCTAGACAATCCATCCATCCAAGTCTGCATCTTAAAGCTAGCTGTCAAAGATCAACGCGGGCTTAGTAGGTTTTAAAATTAGGGATCATCGCGATCGGACATTACTAGGCATGGGTGGTTCCTGCTGCGATACACGCAAGTGAAACCCGAGATATACGACCGCCTCGGACGGCTTGTTGGCCGAATACCCACCAAAGTAGGCCAGCATTAGCCAGGAAGGATTGCGAGGCTGGAAACCATCTGAGCACAGCTCCATCAAAGAACGTTATTCCGGACGATATACCTTCTAGATAGAGTAAATCTATCCTGTGATGTGGCTTTTTGTATGTGTGTCACCTGGTTGAAGCCCGGCATCGAATTTCAGGGTGTTTAATGTGTCAGTTTCACATTTGGACGACCCTGAGCCTTTAATTGATAAGATCAGATCCGGCTTTTAGACCACATTGGGGCAATGTATGCGCCGATGCTAGCTGGTCATCTGTAGAATATGGAGTCATTTAGCGCCGTAGTTACAAGGCGCAACTCTAGAGGCCTAGAACAATGTCACACATTGACCCATCTTCCATCTTTTGAGCCCAGCCACATCCAATTTGTGCACACATTGACCTATCGGAGATTTTATTGCTAGATAGACACAGAAATTGTGCCTCGCGATACTCGCGCTGCTGTTTCACCACCATTCGCTTGAGTAGAACTGAATTTCCTCGTCTTGCAGCAGTGCCGCTGCTTCATGCAACCCACTTACAAGCGAGATTCTTTGAGTAAGATGCGAAGCCGCATAGTCAAACGTCATTCAAGATTTAAACCTGCTGGATATTCTTCGCAAAAGAGAGTACGTTCTGAAGCCGTGTTTGTGCATCACTTCGCTGTTCACGTTCGTTCCACCAGTCTTTACTCTTTGGGTCTCGTGCCCATCCGCTCTTTTAGTCTCAATTTCTTGTATCTCACAACTTCATTCTGCACCATGCTGCAATTCCTTCCATTTGTCGGCCTGTTCGCTAGCGTCGTGGCGGGCCACGGCGTCGTTGACAGCTTCAAAACGGACGGCGTAGAGCATCCCGGCTATCAGCTCAGCTACTACTATGACAAAAAGAATGGCAAGGAGCTTCCCGAGCTAGCTGCCTGGTCTGCTGAAAATCTTGACAGTGGATTTGTTGCGCCCGAGAACTACACGTCTCCTGACATTATTTGCCAGAAGAATGGTGTCTCCGCCAACTCCACTGTCAAAGTGTCTGCTGGCGGAACCGTCGAGTTTCACTGGACACGATGGGCTCACTTTGGCCCCATGATGACCTATGTTGCCAGGTGTCCATCTGATGACTGCACCAATGTTGACAAGACTACACTCGAATTTGTCAAGATAGACGAGGCTGGCATCAACTTTGATACGCAGGAATGGGCTGCTAGGACTATGGTCAACAACAACAACACTTGGGTCACCACCGTTCCGAAATCTCTCGCAGCTGGCAGCTATGTCTTTCGTCACGAGACCATCGCTGTTCACGGCTCGTTCCGAGAAGGCGGTGCTCAGAACTATCCTCAATGCTTCAACATTGAGGTCACCGGGTCCGGTACAGCAGAACCTAAGGGGGTTCGAGCCCAAGAACTGTACACCCCCACTGATCCCGGCATTTTATTCAACCCCTACAAAACACCGATCCAGAACTACACTATCCCTGGCCCCGCGCTGTTCAGGGACGGAGAAGCAGCAACCGCCACCAGCACCGCCCCGACCACGCCATCCGGTCAACCATGGGTAAACAACGCAACTAGTCGATCTTTCGCCAACTCAACGGTACATGTTCCCATTCCTTCCACGACGCCATCAGAACCTGCCGGTACCCTCTCCACCAAGGTCGCCACGGTCATTCCCACCTCGCGAACCACCGAGACCGCAATCGCGTCTAGCTCGGCCAGCCTCCCTGCTACGCCCAAGACCGGCCCTACAGTCCAAGCAACCCAGTCTGTGTCATCCTCAGCCTGTCTATCCACAGGATCGGAGTTCGTAACCTCCAAGGCAGACACAGACACAGTTTTGAATGGCGGAGACTCGCTGCCTCAGACGTTTACGCTGGAGACCTTCATCGAGTGGCTCCGTGAGAATTCGTCCAAGAATACGCGCCGCCATCCTCGTGAGCTTCTTTAACGACTTGGGAGATATTCTGTTTCTACTTTCGCTTCATGACTGGCATTTTGGCTTTCGTCGGAACGTTTTCGGATAAACGATGAAGGCTTTTAGGATCACGGCAATTACATTGGATGCAAGCATCACCTAGCATCCACCTCAATATACGCTACGATATTTTCACAACTCACGGGAAATGAAGAACTTTTAAGCATAATCGAGCTGCATTGTAAATGAATTTTATCTAATTTTCGTGGAACGTCTTCCGACATAACTGTTATTTGTATGACTGTTAACCGATAACTCCAAAGTACGTCATTTCCCGAGAAGGTTGGAAGGGAAACTCTCATTCATAATCCAATGGAAGGAATTTCTTGCTCATGGCATGTCGCAAAACCCAGCGACAGCTGAATCGAAAGTTTTTTGTAGGCTTTAATCATGAAAGGAGCTTGATGACAGAGAACAAAAACTTACATATGCTTGCTTTATTGGCTCATAGACAGGCGATCAGTGTACCCTCTCGTACTTGGTTCTTGCATGAACAGGCTTTCCATGCACAGCTGCTTTATTTGGGCTTTTATAAGCTGAACTTTACAGTCTACACTCCGTTGTTCCTAGCTTCCAACCAGGGCCGAGATCATAGTAGTTGACCAAAGTCCCAGGCTGTGCTATCTAATGCAGCTAGCGCAGGTTTTGGCCTCACCACTCACATACGAAATCAAACTAACCAGTCACACAACGATGCAACCTCAGTAAGTCTATGCTTGGATACGAGCTTACGTGATGACTCACGTTACGTGCAACATAACATTTGAGGCCGCTTCGACTGACGCGACTGTTGTTCCTGGGAGCTTGGAAGTTGAAGACCTTAAAGCACATACCATCGATCCTGGGCTCCCTCCATTCCCGAGTTCCATCTTTCCAATTTCCAATCATGGCAGAATCCTCACACGTCCTGGCACCAGCACTGGCAGCCATGAACCTAGACGACCACAGCCATACAATCATCACGGCAGCCCAGCGCGCCTTGAGTAACCACCTCATCCTCTCGGAAATATTTGACTACATCAGCATGGACTGGCAGGGCTGCTGGAAGGATCGCCCTGTGGAGGCCTTGCGTGAGAATCATGGCACGGTCACGGGCTCAACGGGATCTAGAGGCGGCGAGGTTTGCGATACGAGCGACGAAAAGCGCCAAGACCATGACAACACAGACGACAATGACGACGATGAAGAGGACTGGAGTGCTCATCACTACTGCCGCGGCGGGGTTCTCCTGCGATGCATGCTGGTGAACAAGCTGTGGTTCGAATTCGCGACACCGTTTCTATGGAGGGAGCCGACGGAGATGGTCTCATATCCGTCATATAAGACCGCAATTGTGGCCATACTGAGTGCCATTGAGCCCGTACGGCGGCAACTGTATGCCAAGCACGTTGAGATAGGCTTCAACGAGGGCCGCGACAACGAGGACCTCACAGAGCTGGAATTTCCCCGGCTGAGAGAAATGCAGCTGAGAACAGACTACTGAAATAGTCGTAGGCCCAGCAGCCGAGAGCTATGTAATGCAGCAGCGCATACACGCCCTCAGGCATATATAGCTACTATAGCTATATAACTCTATAGTTTTAAGGCCTATAATCTTAAAAAAAAAAGGAAAAAACTTCTAATCTACTTTATAGATCTAAAATAAAAAGAATAAGATTAAAAGTTTAAAAATCTACTAAAAAATAAGTAAATTCTACTTCTAATTTATTAAGATTAATAATAATATCTAAGCTAACTTTTTATTTCTTAAAGGGGGCTAATAATCTAACCTCTAAATGCTAAAAATACTAAAAAATCTAATAAACTTACTAAACTCTATTCTAATTATCTCTAATTATCTTCCTTCTAGCTTTCTAAGTTAAAAGATAATTCCCTATATACTTATATATATATAAAAGTACTATATTTACTAATAAAACCTATAATAAGTATTCCTATAATCTTAAATCTCTTCTACTTCTCCTATATAAGTAATATCTTATTTAAACTTTAATCTATAATATACTTATCCTTACTATCCTCTTAGTTTTAAAAATCTATAAATATAGGTCTTAAGTAATATATAAGCTTCTATTTAAGTCTAAAAATTAATATACTAGTTAATATATACTACTTAATTAACTACTACTAACTTTAGAATAAGCTACTTAAGAGAGTAAGTAAAATAGTTACCTATAGTTATAAAGCCTTAAATAGGAGCTAGAAACTTATATAATAGTAAGATAGAACTCTTATAATTAGAAGTTATAAATATAAACTTACTATAATTACTATACCCCTCTAAAATTAAAAAGTTAGAAGCTAAGCTTTTTAATAAAGATAAAATAATAACTAAAGGCTAAACTAATATTATAAGCTTTTAAAGTAAGTTTACTAATAGAAGTAAACTAAAAGGTTATTCTAAAGATAATTATATAGTTCCTTTTATAGCTATCTCACTTAAATAAGCTATTACTATTTATATTATAAAATAAAATAAAAAGTTCCTATAAATTAAATTATATCTATAAAACTTAGTAATAATTTATAACTTATACCTACTAATTAGAAATAAAAAGCTCTAATAATAGAAGCTCTTATTAATAGTAATATTATTACTAAAGTAAGTATTAAGAAGTCTTTCTATAATAAAGTAATAAACCTAATTAATATAGTAAACTCTATAACTATAACTATTAAACTATTATATTAAATTAACTACTTAAGTATATTATAATAGGATAGTAATAAAATCCTTAAGTACTTTAAGTAGCTTATACTAAGTAGTAAAAGCTTTAATAATATTAATAAATTTCTAGTTACTCTACTAATTAAAGTTTAAATCTATAAAATAGCTTTTCTTATTAGTTTAGTTTACTACTAAGTAAATAAAATAGCTTTACTTAACTTATAAGAAATATATAACTATATTAGAATTCTATAAGTTATCTTTATATTTATCTATAAAGAGGTTTATATTAATAGCCCCCTCTTTTTCTTAGTTAATATCTTATAATATAGTATTTAGTAGGTAAATCTAAACCTTATAGTAGGTATTTCTTATAATAAAATATATTAGTATAGTAAGATATTTAATTTAGAAGAAGTCTTTTATATAGAGGATATTTTAAGTATTATATAAATTAACTAGTATTTTAAGTAATATAATAAGATCTTAGCTAGCTTATCTTCTAAAATTATTAAAACTAATAGTAAATTAGGTCTATAAAGAACTCTTTAAACTAAGATTTAAGTTACTATAGTATTCTATAGCTTAATAGGATCTAACTTCCTTAAACTATAAAGTTCTAATAGGGCTATAAGGGTATATAAGCCTACTTTAAATAGTTTTAAAAATAAATTAAGTTTATAAAGAGGTACTTTTAGTGAAATAAGATAATTAGTATACTATCCTCATTCTTTTAAATTACTATAAAAGGTATTTTATATAGGAGATAGCTATATCCTATCTTCTTATTATTCTAAGTTTAATAATAACTACCTCTCTTATATCTTAAGTCTAAATAGTATAGCTACTTCTAGAGGATCTATTTACTAGTATAAACCTACTATTTAGTACTAATAGAGTTAGCTATTTCTCACTTAGTAGGTTTTAAAGTTTCCTTTTATTATTATACTTTAAATATTTATTATATAGTCTCTTATACTTTATAATAACCTCTAAAGTAGGTAGACTAATTAGTTCTTATAATAGCTTCAGTTTATTTATAAGCTATTAAAACTTAAATCTCTAGTACTTAAAACTCTATAAGACTTTATTAAATTTAGCTATAATATATTAGACCTAGTCTATTAATATATCTTAAACTACTCTATCTAAATTACTAAAGTTACTAAAGTTATTAAAATACCTAAAGTAGTTAAGTATAATTACTTTAAAGTACTATATAAAGCTAACTTATAGGATATTTAAGATAGTAAGCTATTAGAATAAGGCTTATTAAGAGTATAATAAGAAACTAATAAAGAAGTGCTTAATATTTCTAGAGATTATAATAAGTCTATTCTTAGTTTCTCTATCTTCTTAGTAGTTATTATATATAAATATCTATCCTATTAAAATATCTAATAGTATTCTAGCTTATACTTAGTTTATTTCACTAAATAGTATTATAAAGTGTTTAGTAAAGAGGATAAAGTAGTACTATTATATACTTTTAACTATAAGGTAGTTTATTAATAAGAGGCCTCTAAGTAAACTTAAAGCTAGCCTAACTCTCTAATTAATATAATATATAGCTATAATAAAGCTTCTTATAATATTATTACTACTTAGTATAATAATAGTAAGAATAATACTTTAGAAGTTATAAATACCTATAATACTTTTAAATATCTTTAAATCTAACTATAGGTATCTTAGGTAGATTATTACTAATCCCTATTTATTAAGGAGGTGCTATTATAACTTAATATCTCCTAGTTATAGCTATATAAGTGCTAGAACTAGTTCCTTATTAAAGGGGGAGGAAGTATTATTAAAGTATATAAGCTCTAGCTAAATAGTAGTTCTATTAATATATTTAAGTAACTTATCTCTCTTATAATTAACCTAAAAGTATAACTAAATTAAAGTCCTAAAGGTCTACTTAAATTAAATAAGTTACTTAACTATATAAGTCTTAATAAAACCTTTAATAAAAGCTCCTTCTTAAATAGATATTATATTAATTAAATTAAGTAGTAGTAAAGATATAATAGTTCTTAAGAAAGGTATAGTATATACTTTATAGATATAATTAGTTATAGTATAATATATAAGTAGTAAAATAAGGAAAAAGAGAGGGAGAGAGTAGTATTAATATAGTATATAGAGGGTATATTAAAAGATAGAAAAAGTAAGAGTAATTAGTATAATAGTTACTTAGTAATAATTTATAGATATAAATAGTAGTTATATAGTTATTTACTTAAAGTTTATAAGTAAAAGTTATAAATAAAATAGTAGTAATTTATAAATATAAGTAGGTAGCTATAATTACTTATTTTATTAAAAATAAAATAAAAAATAGCTACTAAAGTAAATTAAAGCTTAAAATAAGAGGATAAATATAATTACTATTAAATTAGTAGCCTTAATCACTCTACTTACTTATCTATTTATATCCCCTCTATAAGCTATTAAAGTAGTATTTCCTTCCTTTATTAATAACCTATCTATATTATCCCCTAAATAAATAATTATTATATTTTAAATCTATAAAACTTATATCTTTATTAATTAATAAGTCTTTTATACTTTTCTTTATTATAGTTAAAAATACTAACTAGCTCTAAAAGTAATACCTTCTAACTTATTATAAGTTCTAACTACTAACTAACTCTAAAAAGTAACTAACTAATATAAAGTCTAACTCTCCTCTTTATATTATATTAAATAACTTAAATTTAATTATAAGTTCTTACTATATATCTTTATTATCTCTTACTATTTAGTTAATAAGTTCTTTTATAGTTACTTATAAACCTTATCTAATATAAACTTAAACTTCTATAACCTTATAATATATACTATAAAATAGACTTCAGCCTATTTATACCCTCTATATCTATAAAATAGGTTATAAAATAATTCTAATAAAACTTAATAAGTATAAAGTACTTATTATATATAATTAGCTACTTAAATACCTCTCTTAACCTCCTCTATAGGTAAGTATTTATTATAAGTAGCCTTATAACTCTTTATAAGCTCTAAGTAACTAAAGTCCTTAATCCTAATTATTTAATAGTATCCTATAGCTTCTTTATTTAAGTTTTTAGAAGTTATAATACTATCCCTTATAACTACTATAAGGCTTATACTTACTCTCTTAAGGATAATTTAACTAATACTTAGGTCTATAAACTATATTTTAAATATATTTTAATATCTAGTAAACCTTATATAAACTATATTTACTATAAGGATACTTTAAAGGAGTACTTATATATTAATAAAGAGGTTTATAAGGAGTTTAGCTATAAGATAAGAAAAAGGAAAAAGTATTAGAAGAGTAATAAATATACTAATATTAAGATTATTAGGTTAAAGATTAACTAGTAGACTATAAAATAAAGTTATATATAAATACTAAACTTTATAGAGGATATTATAAATATAGTAGATAAGTAGATCTATAAGTATAAAGCTACCCCTAAGTTATTTATATTTATAAACTATTTATTTATAATAAAGCCTCCTTTTAATCTTAACTATAATAAAATAGAAGAACTTCCTTCTTATATTTATAATAAAGCTTCTTAAAAAACTTTATTACTAAGAAGTAAAATAAAAGAGGGAGGTATATAAAGTAGCTAGAGGGTCTATAGCTATATAACTAAGTTAATTTTATTATCCTACTTTATTATTTTNGTCTATAGCTATATAACTAAGTTAATTTTATTATCCTACTTTATTATTTTAATCTATAAAATAACTATCCTATATTATAATATAAAAGAGTAGGTCGTTCTAGCCTAACTATTTCATTAGATAATCCT